TGTGTGCAAGCCTCTCATTGGTTTACTTCCTACTATGGTGGTACCTGTTTGTACTGCTGGGTATGCTGGAATAATATGAGTAAAATTTCTTTTAATTCCTAGTATAGTGGTACCTATTTTTATTGCTGGGTAGGCTGGAATAATTAGAGTAAAATGTCTTGTTCAATGACACAACATGTACACAGTAAACCAGAACTTACATTGAGTGTGAGTTCTGTCAGCAGACGTAGCGTTGCATTGTCCTTACTAGATGAAATGGCAAACATCCTATTACTGATATGGTTTGTATGATGCTGACAATGTCTAATAGCATATGGGTATTTTAGGATACTAAACACTAAAACTTTTGTGTTTAATTACTTAACGTCTGTTGAGTCTTTAATGATTTTAGTGTCTTTTGCCATCATTCTACAGTACTCAGAGACTGTGTTATATACTATATATATAGCAGTCCCCTCCAGGTTGTTGGTTGTACACAGGGTTCAATGTCCCTTCAACAGATAAGGTCATTTGAGGACGTGCCCCTCCTGGTATAATACCAAAGGCCTGACTTTTCCATAGGTTTTACTTCAAAAATCTTGCCTTGTTTTTCTTTTTCATGGTCAATAAATAACTTCTTCTTAGGTTTTAACTGCATTATTTACTTATTTTCATAATTTTGTCAACACCGACTCATAAGAATTTGTTTAGCTTTGATAACGGTTTAGATGGTTTGATTCACGCAGTATTGGGTGGGTAACATATTACAAACCGTAGGAACAAGCTTCCACAATTCAAAACTTGGCACCAGTTTTGAAAATACAAGATTTCCCTGTTAAGTGTTTCTCTGTGATAGACGAAGGATATTGTATACAAAACACCATTCATACAGAAACTATCTCTCTGTGGTGTTGGGTTTCTCCTGATTCTCTCGTGAGTATGATATGTTTCGGAAGAAAATGAATGATTATCTTCAGAGTAAGAGTCTGACGAACAAGTCAAACGTGTATGGTAACTTTGTTTAAAGTTGAGTTTTATCAGAGGTGATTCAGAGGCTGGCAGAGTTTGGCATTGCTCCATGGTGGCCATCTTCTCTGAGAACTCTTTTGCACAGTGTATATCTCAGACTAATTTACTGCCTTAGACAGTGTTTAGGTTCATTTTAAACATTTCTCTTGTTTCTTGAACTGTTAGGATCATGCTCTGGGGTTAAGGGTGTGTGTTTATCTTGGTTTATTTGGTGGAATATCATGTGAAACAGTCCAGGCTGGATAAACATTTAAATCTGTTTAGTTAAATGGCTTCATTAGAGTTGACCCTTGTTATTCCAGCAACCATTAATCCAGTTGTCTCACTTTCCACCATCATTAATCTAGTTGTCCCACTATCAATTGGGCAATCACTAATTTGGCTATCCCACTATCCAGCCAAAACTTATCCAGTTGTCTCACTATCCAGCCAAAACTTATCAAGTTGTCCCACTATCCAGCCACCACTAATCTAGTTGTCTCACTACCCAGCCATTACTAATCTAGTTGTCTCACTATCCAGCCATCACTAATCTGGTTGTCTCATTATCCAGCCACCACTAATTTAGTTGTCTCACTATCCAGCCACCACTAATCTGGTTGTCCCACTATTTATTGAGCAACCACTTATCTAGTTGTCTCACTATTCAGCCATCACTAATCTGGTTGTCCCATTATCTATTGAGCAACCACTTATCTAGTTGTCCCACTATCAAGCCACCACTTATCTAGTTGTTTCACTATCCAGCCATCACTAATCTGGTTGTCTCACTATCCAGTCACCACTAATCTAGTTGTTCAACTAAATCCTGTCACCACTAATCTAGTTGTCACAATATACAACCACCACTAATCCAGCTGTCCCACTTTCCAATCACTAATCCATTTTTCAAGTTGTGGAAATGAAATTTTCATGTAGGTGATAGGTCGTACTGATGCATTAACTCATTCACCCCTGAAGACACATTTGAACTCTTCCAATATAAAGGTTGGAATAGGTCATTATGAAATTTCAGGGGTGAATGAGTTAAACAGATGCAATTTTAAAAACAAAGAATTTGAGTAGGATCGCTAAGACATTTAGAGTTTCCTTGTTCCTTAACATACCTGGGGCAGTTTGTAGGCCATTGACCTTAAATATATGTGATGAATGGCCTTGACATTGTACTTCACAGAATATAAGATTTGTTCCCCGGAATCCTCCCCATGCAGCTCCTCCATAGCTCCTCGCATCTGAAATAGGTGTTTAGTGGCCTGATCTATTTATAGAAACTGGTACACCTGCCAGGGCTTTACCACAGTAAAGCTGGTCTGTTACCTACCATCATTTCTACAGAAACAGAACTTCCTGCCTGAGATTGAGATTTAGCATTTCTTAGGATCACTACATATATTACCTACCTTAATTCATTCACCCCTGAAACTTCATAATGAACTATTCCAACCTTTGCATTGGAAGAGCTCAAATGTGTCTTCAGGGGTGAATGAGTTAACTCCAATACAAACCAGGACCTTATCTACATAAACCAGGACCTGCTGCCCCAGTGTGAGACAATATATTTGTAGAACTTTCACTCCCTATAGAAAGTACCTTCAGTAACTTGATTCTAACAGAACAGATGTTTTCTGATATGTCTGTAAAAGTTTGAATTAGGTTTCTTTATAGAAGGTATCTACCTGAGTACACTCTACTGATCTACTGCCATATTTAGTCATGCCTGCTCATGTGACCACCTCCTTTAAGAGACCACCTGTGTTAACAGGCCACTTTGAATGTTTTCCATTCTAGTGATTTCTTTGTGAACTGAACCTCTATTAAGAGACCACCTACATTGTTCCCATTTGTTGTGATTTAATTAAAAACTGAACCTGTATTAAGAGACCCTGTTTTGGACTTCCAATGATTTGTCCCTGATTTGACACATAACATAGCAGACTCCTGATCCATCATAGACCTCTTATCAGTTTGTATTTAGGAACAGATACTAAACTTACCAGCTTCAAGTCTACTACAGGTAGCTTAACAAGTAGCTTTTCATTTTCACCTTCAAGTATGATTAACTTCAGCTGAAGGCGATGCCCCCTCCCCCCCCCCCCCCCCCCCCCTATTTAAGGTCTGTACTGACTGTATACAGGCTATTAATAACTTATCTTGATTTACAAGATAAACCCTTTTGGCTTCTGGTCCGGTGTTTCCCCCATTAAATCCACATCACCAGATTTCCCCTAATAAGTAGAGGCAGGAAGATTTATATTCTCCCTCATTATATTGGTCCGAATATAAATCGATTAAATTCAAATGATAACACAAGACATAAATGGTATTGTTATAGCTTGTTGCTCATTCGTTTATTACAATCCACAACCAGATACAAACCACACCTAACCACTATATCCTACCCCCACTGGCCAACATACATCTTCAAGTAATTGGATTTGAATTTGTTTATCAAAAAACATCCTTACACTATATATAAGAAAATTTACATTTAAAGATACGGTGATGAGCAACGAACTCGAAAGAGCGCACCTAGCGCATGCTCCCTATATATACCCTACACCACGTGACATCCACCTAGCGTGTGCTCCCTATATATACCCTACACCACGTGACATCCACCTAGCGCGTGCTCCCTATATATACCCTACACCACATGACATCCACCGGACACATCCTCACCTGAATACTTACGGAAACAACCGAAGATAATTTCATTTATTCCGGCCGTCAGTAGCTTATATAGTATAGCTTATTGGTCAGTCAGACTTCAGGGGTGAGGGCGGGCATTCAGGTACAAATACAAATTCTGCATGTTAAGGCCCCATCCCTTCAGAAATAATTGAACTGCAAATGAATTAATAAAAAAAGATCAATATTGTGATAATTTCTTAGAAAGTAACATCCAATTGTTCAATTGTAAACAATACGTGACTTTAAAGTCATTTGCTGGAAAAAAACAATAGTTCAGACTTGCCTCTGATGAAAAGTGAAGAAAAACAATTTATAATTTTTTTTTCATTTGCATACATGTAAGCTTACTTCAGTTTTCTTCCATAATGCAAAAGTAAAACAAAAAATGGATAAAAGCATAAACATGAACAAACTCCTGTACAGAAAGTGTATGAGTTGATGGAATCCAAATATCATAAGGCAATTTGGGTCTATTTATAGCTTCACCTGGTCTACTAGATAAAAATAAAATTGGCATGAACACAAAGCTGCAAGGAAACTCTAAAAAATGTTCAAAATCGTACCAGCTAACCGTGGCCATCAGCTGGCAAAACGTAAAGAGACTTGGACACCGTCTTATAATTAAAGTGTACTTCAAAGGGACTCTAATAATGAAGATAAAATTATCTTATCATAAAATCATATTTTCACTCATCAGTTTGCAGCATCAACTGTTTACTTAGGTAGTTTTTGTAACCCTGTCAAGTCTTCAGTAAGTGACTTTGTATGACCTTGACCATTTGTACGACCTTGTCTGATCTTGCTTTATATGATTTTAAACATGTTTTAACATAAAGAAAGGATTGGGAAGCAGTCAATGCCTTTGTAATCTTGGTCTGAAAATTTGGCTTAATTTTATTTCTGTCATCAAATGACCAAGTAAAATCCTAAGGAGACTAGTGGTCGTATTTACCAGTTATAGCTGTCTTAAATGACCTTGTCTGACCTTTAGTGACTGGGATTGACATATGATTGACCTTGCATCCCCTTGTTTGAGCTTAGTCACCTTATGTGTCTTTGCTTGACCTTGTATGAAGATAAAATAACATCACCTTTATCAACTTGTATATGGTTGTATGACCTTATACTATAAGCTTTCTGGACAATTATCCCCCACTGTAGTGGCAGAAATTGAAGTCTTGGCGCCATCACTGCCCATTACTGAACTTGGCTGTACAGTCATCACTAGATATTCCTTGTTTTAATGACTTACGCAATGTTACATGTCATTGTTTGACCTTATCTGACTTTGTGTGTTGTAGGGTGCAGAATGGATCAGAGTGCGCGTGCACCAAATGGAACCAGACCTGATGGACGTGGGGTCCACAATCGAGGAAGCGCTCCAGTATCAAAGGGAACATAATGACATGTTGGCCAAACTCAAGGTGAGTCAAGGTGTGGGGTCAGATTAAACTCAAAGTGAGGCTGGTGGTGGGGTCAAATTAAACTCAAAGTGAGGCCAGGATGGGGTCAGATTAAACTCAAAGTAAGTCTTGGTGTGGGGTTAGATCAAATTAAGTTAAGTTGAGGCTAGGGACGGAGTTATATCAAACTCAAAGCGAGACTTAAGTTGGGTTTAGGTTAGATATGAGTTGATGATGATAACAGGATTAAGTCACTCTTTAAAGTCTTTTAAGCCCATTGGAGGTTTGGTAAACTTAAAAGGATCCAATGTCATTGCTGGTTTTAAGGAATGCAGATAAATTTACCCAAGACTCAGACATCACATATAAAATAATACAAGACAAGATTACTGTTCAATTCTTTACTCACTACAAACAAAACTAGAACTTGTATTACTCATATAAAAATTTGGCCTACCAAACACCAAACCACGCTTATTTTGTCAATTTGGCACATGTTGGAAAAACTGTTATCAATAAAGGTTGGACATGAAATATTGATATGTTGATACCCAGTGTTGTAAGCCCTGTTATATCGGTGGTATCTGGATCTCTATCTAAATCAAAGATATGCCACAGAGCTGTTCTCCATCAGGGCAAGGTCTGATGATAGTGAAGGAACATCAGTCCTCCACGGTAAGCCACTGAAGGCCGACATGTTAGAGTCTTATCTTTGTTGGTGTGTAAACAAACATGTAGTGCTTTATAGTGATCAGGTGTGAAACATTCCAGCATGGTCAACTGAACAAACAGTTAGAAAAAATGTGAAAAAAACAAAGACATTTATTTATGATATGTATTAAGAACAACATGTAATTTTGCCCCTTTCACGTAACCGGTTCAACTGGTTTCTCTGTTTGAAATGTAACATTTTCGGGTATAAATCCTGGCGGACCCGCATATGTTCATGCAGGCCTTGCTAGGCTTTGTCAAGGCTCGGCTGAAAGCATCATCAGATTACTAAGTCCGACCTTATTTCAGAAACGAACAACTCTGGTCCAATAAGTTCAACCGATTGGACCATTTGGATCGTGATAAAGGAATGAGGCCTTGCATTGGAATCCCAAAACGTAAAAAACGAAATCTTTTTTTGAAGGTAACATATCAATAATGGTAGCAAGATTTTTCAGGCATCTTTCCAATCTTCTTGGGAGAATTATCAAGGGTATTACAGAACTCTGTTTGAGACTTCTGTATGTGGACCGGTGAACATACAGAAGTCTCCAACAGAGTGAGCTGATGTCCAAAACGCAGTACAGTATACCTAGTGTATACAAGGGTGTTAGGCACTGATAAATCCAGTAGGGTTTCAGATACATCTGATAGTAGAAAACTCGTCCATTATAAGTTTTGGCTGGAACCTTAAGAGAGTGTCATCCTTATCTACTAAGGATCTGTAAATATTCCATACACATGCATGGTATCAACAAGCCCAGGGGCGGGGAGGGGGGACTGGGGGTAGGGGGTCGGCTTAGCTTTGCTTTGGAAATGTTTTTCTAGATTAGAGCAAATTTGGCCGGCGAGGTGGCTGGTTGGAGAAGTTGTCCAGTAGTAGATTACTGTTGAAAGGTTGCCATCTTGTTATCGTGGAAAGTTTTTTGTGTGAGTCCTAGCTGTTAAAAGGTGACCATTTTGTATGCTTGGGCAGATTTTCATACCATTCCTGTTAAAAGGTTACCAACTTGTATTCAAGTGGAGATTTTCGTATGATTCCTCATGAAATGTCATCGACGTTTAAACATGGGAAAAATTATTCATAGGATTCCCCTGGAAATGTCCCAATCTTGTTAATACAGGGAAGTTTTCGTAAAATGTCGCTCTGGATTATTAAATGATATTTGGCGTTTTATTTTGATAAAAAAAACAGAAATAGAAAGTGAAATTCTGTGAGCATTATAAACACCTTTGCTTTGTGGATGACTGGTTCTTTTGACATTAGCCTTCAGATTTTGACAGGTAAGTCTATAATTCAGACAACTAGAGGGTCTTAACCACTTATTTTAGAGTACCATCAGTTACTCATTCACCCCTGGAATTTCATAATGAACTATTCCAACCTTTGAATTGGAAGAGTTCAACTGTGTCTTCAGGGGTGAATGAGTTAACACTAGCACCATTTTTTTAAATGTTTGCTTAAGTCATTTTGTACAGATGTATTCCACATGTAAAACATATTTTAAGATGCATTTCACAAAATTACAGTAGTTTGAAATTTGGTTAATGAGTAAAAAAAAATGAAAAATAAAAATATTGTATAAGAACCCAGCTAGCTTAATTATGTAATTCCACTGCGAAGAGCAAAATTAACATTAGATAAATGAGTAATTTACTGGTGGAGGACAGTTATTTGACCAGGCAAATATTTTCCAGTAATACAGAGAATGCCAATTTGACTATCTAAATAGACCCCTCAAGGCAAATTATGCGAGACAAATTTGGCATATTGTATTAATATACTGTGTTAAGACATATATCAGAAGTGAGTTGTCTGCCCTTTTTGTAACTCACCATGCAGTGGAATTTGTGGTAGCCCAAAATAAGTGGCCAACTGGCTGTATCATTTAATGTCATGGAGAATTACAACCAGATGTGGATACCTAACATCTTCTCCCCAGCCTCTGTATCTCTTCTGATGTACATCAGGCCCTATTATATGTTATGATATAGATCACTGGCTAGTCCACCTTCCAATCTCCTGATGGTCAGTAGCATACAAAGGGTAGCCTGATCGGTCTGTGTAGTTCAGCCCTGTTTCCCAATATTCTCTTAAGGACAGCTGTGATATGATAAAGTTACCTAAGGTAGCTGCACAAAACATATGGGGAACATTGCTAATTGAAACAATAAACAATGTTCCCCATCTGTTTTGTCCAGAGTATTTACATTAAAGCTAGAGTTGTCTGCCCTTTATTGCCAGAAGAGTTCAAAATTATATAAACCATTTTTTTTTGTGAGAAATGGATTCTATATATACATGATAATGGTATTTTTTTTACAAATAGCATTAATTAGGAAAAAAAGGTACTGGTATTTGTAAAACAAGTCTGTGATTAAATTGGCTGTGTTTTAAAATGATTTATTTTATCTTTAGACATGTAATATTTTCCTTTTAACATATTCAAGATATTTCCAAATGTTTATGTAGGTACTTACATCAAATAAAAAAGCACAGAAATTGGTAGCAACATGTATATAGCTCTTGAAGAAATAGGTTTCATTCACAGCAAGAGTTATCTTTTCCTGATATTAAAAATAGAGGTTGAAAAGTAAGAGTAACATAATTAGGTTTCCGTTTCACACAAGTAAAGGAAATTGTTGAATTTCTGCACAGAACATATTACATGTTGAGCTATGTTGGGTGTAACCAGTATATACTTAATTATAGTCGGCTATCAGTGCTAACAAAAATACATAATGGTTGCAGACACTGTGCCCTGTTGTTCCAAACTTGGCAGCTTAACAGCACAATATGTTAGGGTGAAAAGATTATGTAGAAATGTATAAATAAAAGTACCCTGTATGTATTTGTGTATGGACTTATTTTTTTTTCCTAAAGACAAAAAGTTGTTCACATTTTCATTATTCAAAAATGTTTAAAATTGATTTGAAAATTTGAGTTATTGGTTTGTAAAGCTGACAAATATTTTAAGAACATTGTTACTTCAAGGTTACAATAGCTTACTCAGTGTCTGCAGAACAGATAACTTAGTTCTCAACACACAAACATGTTTGTGAGAGTTTTCTGATATTCAAGGCCTGTTATAGTTTGTAGGGTGTGACCCATGTCATGTGCATCAGGTCTGGAATCGGAGAAATTCTGATAACAGATTTTGTCATTTTGAACAAATGTTTGTTTCATACTTACACTTCAGGGTAACCTTCTTTGGCCATGACTGATTATAATGACAGTTCGGACCAGGAAACTGTCGAAGATATCTGTACTAAAACACACCTGTTTACATAAATAATTGTGCAGTGAGTGTGTAGTCTGAGAAGATCTAACTGTTTAAGCCATCATCATTAGGTTTGATAACCTTGCTGTGCTCATCTGCCAAACTGGAAATGATTCATTACAGAGAGGCTAGGAATGTGTCTTAAAACCCCCCCCCCCCCTCTCTTCCTCCCCCTCCCCAGGCTGTGGACCATATAGACTTTTAATTTCTTCTCACTTGCTGTCTTCCCAACTATCCCTACCATGTTGAGACAGAGAGGGGGCAGAGAGAGGGTTTACGAATCTGTAATAACACCTGGTTCAGGTTTAGGTAGCAGTTTTGAAGCTGATACAGATATTTAGAAATAGCGATATTTTCTTTAACCCTTTCACCCCTTTGTAACTTTAGTAGACTCTTCTATGCATTGATATGGATGAGTTTTGGGGCTTCAATCAATTTCTTACACCATCATCATGAAATATAAGTGTCTAAAATGAATATTTCAAGTTGTTGGTTTGAGAAAATGAATTGAATCCCACAGTATTGAGGACTTTGGTAGTGTACGTATTTCAAACTGGAAATGGTAAATTCGTTGTTATTATTGGAATCTGTTTGTATAAATGAGGTGTCAACACACTGGGAATGGTTTGCTTTGTAATTAGATATAAAGAAATATGAGTCAGAGGTAGACATTTGCGTAAATATATGTTAACCCTTTCACCCCCATGTAACTTTAGTAGACTCTGCCATGGATTGATATGGATGAGTCCATTGTGGTCTACAGCGATGAAAGGGTTAAACTAGCTGACAGAAATAAGAAATACCGAACTGGCTGCAAGTTTATAATTTGCCCCATGAACAATAATTACAATGTATTTTACTTTAGATTTAACTGCAGTGGGTGGAAATGGGGAGATATGGGGAGGTATGGGGGGAGATATGGGGGAGGTATGGGAAGATATGGGGAGCTCAGTTGATAAGTTACAATTAGTAAAATTTATATTTAGTTTTAGGTTTATAGATATTTACTGTAGGTTTGAATATTGTGGTTAGATTTGGCGATCGGAATGAGATATGTATTTACGTAATGCAGACACGTGTGGAATCGAGAGCCGCATTGCAGACCAACACGTCGTTATAAAAGAGGCGACGCAGTACACACAACATGTGTCAGAAATGCACATGCGTTACACGTTTATCGATAGCGCAGTACTATAACCTCATGGTCTTGAGCCAACTTTAGGTGATCCTACACTCCCCCACACATTTCTGTTCCCAGTACCTCACACTGCTGCTAACAACAATCCTACCCCATTTTCTCATCATAGCAGACACGCAATATCCCTCTTCTACCTGTCCATTACTCAGAAGAAAATGGCAATGAAAATATGGTCCATTCATTTAGTTGTCAGATTATTTTCGTTTGTATAAGATATATTATTATTTTCATCTCTTTCCCCATTACCCGAGTTATGTTTGTGTTTATTACAACTGTGTGGTTTTCTAATTAAAAATTAAGAAGTCTTGTATTGATTAGGAAAGAAAGTGTGGAGAAAAGGTTTGGTATAATGTTTAAGAAGTTGAATATATGTTGAATATATTTCATCGAAAATGGGATAATTTCTACCCCTTTTGCAAAGAAAATTCCCTTAAACTTAATTCCCTAGTGTATGTGGTCACTTAATTTCTCTGGAAAAAAAACAACCTTACAAAATTAAATATGGTTCAAATGTATGATTTGTTTAATTCTCTGTCTATCTCAATGTTAAAATCTTTCATATCAATAAATAAAAGAATTCAATATTTTAATGCTTGATGAACTTATTATGGATTGAAAAGTAACAGAAGACAGACCAAATAATTTACTTAAAACTAGGACCTCTAATAACTTGTTAGAAATGGCTGCTGTTCTATACCAGTGACTGTCAGAATCTTCTTTGGTTAGATAACAGACAGGATGTTGTATCCTATCACCGTGGCAACAGTTACCACTCTCTTGGCCAATCCCAGCATGCCTCACTCTCCATATATGGTCACGGGACAGGCAGGATTGGGTTTCAGGTCTGGCTGCCTGGCAACCATTCAATACACAACACCACAGCAGGGTTCTGTATATATATAACAAGAATAGCATGCTGGAGAGTTATATATAGCCTGACGCAGTTCTGTGATCTGATCCTTTCTGCTGATGTATACAGCATTTCTTGGCCAGGAATGCTGTAGACTTCAGTCTTTGGAACTCAAGTCCACACCAAGCGAAGGAAAAAAAAGATTTATCATAAAAAATTGCAAAAAATTGAGATGAAACATAAAATAAAATGAAGATGGAGTTGTGTGAAGTGAGATTAAAGTCCAGAAAGCTGAAACAGGAGAAGATAAAAGATTAAGATTTTCTGCTAGTAGCCCCTGTATCTGTGAGGTATTCAGCTTGGTCTTATCTGCAGGCTAAAACATTATGGAAATAAAAATTGAAAAAGGGAATACCAGAAAATTGATATTATGAATCATTTCTAAAATACAGCACATTAGTTCCCCTAAAACTTCAATTTATTTCTGTGATTAACAAATTAAAAACAACTTAACAAATAAAAATAACTTTAATTATGAATAATTGATTTGAATAAATTTTGCCAACTATTTAAACAGTTTTCACGAGCCACAAACTTTGTACATTAAATTTATATAATAGTTTTTGAAATTTCTTCGTGAAAGTGAATCCCTCTCCAAAGTAAATAAATAGTTTGCAGTTTAATTAATAGAAATAAAATTCAGTAGTATGATTACATTAAATAATTCCTTAGACAAGATTTAGGTGATGTTTGATCTTTCTGAGAGTATTTTACAACCCATTATTATCCTGTGGGTATTTGTATTCCCATAGGATAAGAACTGGATACTACAGGGCTAGAAATTATTTTCAAAAATCACTAGCAGTTTGGACTTGTAGTTTTCAATTATACTAGTCCATATTTACATCCCACTAATCTAATATTATTCAACAAAATTAGTAATATAAGATTTTGAGTTGTCCATCCAGCTAGCAGTTTTTGAAACCACTACATGTAGACCAGATGGAGATTTTACTTGTCTTAGACTAGTGGGCTACCCTTATTGTCTAGCCCTGTACTATAACAGGCCATAGGAAAAGTGTCCGTTCCAAATGAGATCCAACGTCCATGTTCCGTTAGTTCCAAAGGTTTGGTCCCCTTCATGAGATGAATTCCTATTGGAATTCAGTAGTCAAGCACAAAAAGTAATCGAAATTCAAAGTAAATTTATTTATCATGATACACAAGATTTATTTCATTTTTGATAATTAAATGAGGATGTTGCAGAATGTCTTTGAAGATCACTCATAACTATGTATTGCTTTTGGTGATACATTGGTTTACAGACAATTTTTTTCCAGGTTGATGAAACTATACATCCACTTCATCAAAAGTCAGTAGCTGTATATCAACTATTTATGGAAGTTTTCAAACAAATAGTTATGAAATGAAATGAAATATATTTAATTACTTTTCAGGCCAAAGAAGATGAAGTAAAGAAGATACTGTGTAGCGCCGACTCGTACGTGACAGAGAACCAGTCCCAGGCAGATGTGTACAGCGCCATGGCCGACACGCTCAGCGAGGCATGGAGAGAGCTCAACAAGAAACTCGAGGCTCGAAGCCTCATTCTGGAGGAGAGTGTGGAATTCCACAAAAGTGCGAACGAGGTGAGAACATTTGGTTTAGTTAACAATTATTTTTTTCATTGATAAGTTTCCCAAGGACTTTGTACAAGTGTGACAATACAAGTTAAAAAAGACATTTTTTTTATATTTCAAAGACCTATATTTTCATGAAAAAAACGTCTCCCACCTGGATGTTTGGTGTACCATATTTGGCTTAAGGGGTCTGTTAATCTTTATTTTCTTATATTTTTTCCAGTTTTCGTCAAAAATGGAGCAAGCACAGGGTACAATTTCGATCTCTGTGCCGACTCATGACGTTGAAACCGCCCGCCACCTTCTTCAGCAACATCAAGAGATCAAAACAGGTAGGAACCAATCAAAATACAGAATTTGTTAATGTGATTTTGATAAAAAAATCTTATTTATCAATTATTGATCTAGCCCTTTCACAATGTATGATATAGTCATGTGGTTTATGTAAACAGTAAAACTTTGATATAACGCTTCTCCTTAATCTACCGCCTCACTTACTGACAGCATATTTCAACGTCTCTTTCTTCTTTTTTTGTTAAGAATTCTTTTATATATTTACCCCATGTTATCGAAAAACCTTTATATCGCCAAAATTTCTCTGGACAAATGAGGGGCAGTATAACCGGGTTTTTCTGGGAAAAGGATGGCAGTATAAAAAGGTTTTACTGTAATATGGTAATAATTTTCCTTACTTTTTGCAGGAATATTGGAAGCATCAAAATCGACACTAAACCAAGGACATATACTACTCACACGCATACGAGAAATGGGTATGCATGCGGACTTACAGAACAGGCACGCTACCACTGCCGCGTGCTACGGAATAGAACATCTACTAGAATTACTTCAAGACCGAAGACGAAGACTTGAGGACATCTGGGAACAGCGTCGGATCCGACTGGAGCAGTGCTTCCAGCTGTGTCAACTCGACATGGAAGTCAATAAGGTAGAGTCTCATTGTCATAGGGGCAGACAACTCTTCAGATTTACAAGGTTTCATTTCTGTAACAATCTTAACTGCTGTATCACATAGGCGACTTTCAAGGTTTTAAATTACATATATTTTAGGATGCAAATATAGCCATAATGAAACCTTTGTGCATTACAAACACTGTACAATAAGTATTCTTGTGTGATAGTTTGAATGGTGTCATACAGTGAAACAGTGCTATGTAAATTTTGGTAAACCTTACCCGAACCTGAAAATAGATTTTTATGACAATGATATCCCAAAAAATCCCAAATTTCATGAATCAATCATGTCTTGTATTCAAAGACATGCTCCAGTCGTTGATGATACTTAAGATTGATTTGTCATTATTTGGAAGCCTCTGTATGACCTTGACCCATGTTTAACCTCTCTGTGACCAATGATCTTCAGGTACTGGACTGGTACAGAACCGTCGGATCCACACACCTACAGAAAAGTGAACTGGGCGAATCATTCCATCAAGTCCAGCTTCTGCAGGAAGACCATTACAGATTTGAAACTCAAGCAAAAGTAGGTCACACAATGTTTATTTACAAAATAATATACAAAACATCTTGTCTCTCCTCGTTAAATATATTTTCATTTAAGTTGTTTCCAAAGAAGAGTCATATGGTATGTCAGAGACACAGATTCTTCTATAAGGGGTCAGTTGTTAAGTATGATGTTATTCTTTTTATAGCACATACAACAGACGGTTGTGCGACTGGTGCGTGACGCCGACCAGCTCCTGCGCCGTGCCAACATGGACGCGGAGGGCGTGAGGCGACGCCTCCAGACCGTTGACCGTGAATGTGAAGACTTTAGAAACAAACTGGACACCAGACGTAAGAACATCATGATGGCTGCGTCATTCTTTGACCAGGCAGAAACGGTACGTATTCTCAGTTAATTTCAGCAGCACTTGCTAGGAAATTTTCACCCGGTCAAACTTTTACTGTTCACCAGGCCATATTCCTCTATTGTTAATTTTACTCTTCACATATAATTTCTAGATATGGAATACTGTGACCTTATATTTGCTGCCTTGTTAAATTTGCCCTAATTACGGAGGGCGGAAAAAAACAAAAGTTTTACTGTAGCAAAGTTACCAGGTGATGTGCTATCCTTATTGGTCCTCAAGCAAAAATGTTGTAAGAAATATAAAAAAAAATGATGTGAAAACAACTATTACTTTACTGCATGAAGGAGTAGAAAATGAAAAAGTCAAACCATCATTCTAAAAATTACTGGTTTTTTCTCCACAGGCTCTAACAAAATTGGATCAGGTTGAAGTCCAACTTAACACCATGGACTTACCGAGGAACAGCGCGGCGCTTGCCGACAGACATGCTCAGTTGTCTAACGCCATCGTGGAAACCTCCACGCAGGCCCTACGAGAGGGGCGCATCCTACTGGAGAGGGTCAGTAGGGACGACCCCGGGGCTGATGGCGTCAGACGCAGGGTAAGTACACAGCTAGGGTGGGGGCTGATTGTGTAGTATGCAAAATAAGAACAGATTAAGGGGGATGTGCTGACAAACCAGGGGGCTGGAACTAGGTCCAGTACAGATTCGGGTGATTGGGATATCCCTGGGACTAAAATCATGAAATGGAATTTTCTTTGATCAGTTTGATGTTGAAGACAGAGTCATTTATTATCAGTGTTTATTATAGTTACTCCTTTAACATTATTTTGCATCAATTCATATACTTTTCTCAAGATTATTGAAGCAAATTTAAACTTTCAAAATAACTTCAATACCATGTCGTTCCCACAGATGACTCTGTTGCAAGAGCGCTGCGCTGGTTTGGAGTCCCTGTGCAAGGCGCGACGGGCTGAGGCTTGGGAAAGGAGCCAGGCCTACCTACAATTCCAGGAACATTTCAACAGCGTAAGTTTTACAAATCTCAGTTCCGCTTGCTTATATCAACATTTGTTTATCCAGGCAATTTGGACCCCCTTTGAGTTCCAAGTTCTGTCAGTTTCTTTGGCATATTTAAGTGTATTTGTAATTGTTTAACTTGTTTACCCCTAAAGTCACATTTGAACCTGACCAAAGCAAAGACTGGGCAATTCTAGTTGAAGCATGTAGTCTGTCGAGGTGAATGAGTTAAATCTTGTTCAGTAATTATCATGCTTTGAATCACTTCATCAAAAATAATTGTTCTTAAATGAAATTGATTGAAAGAATTAAGCTATTTTCAGAAATAAGCCCGTAGAAATTGCCTTGCTTGCTCTTCAGAATGTTTTGCAGACTTTTTACTTTGTATTGAAATTCTGTGGCTATGGTTTCAAACGTGGCTGACATTTACATCCCAGCGATGAAATTTTGCGATTTGAATTTCTCTTGCTATGGCTAAAAACTTGGCTGACATTTATTTAATGGGCAGGCAATAATTTATTTCATATTGATTACTTGTTGCTGTGGCTGCAGATCTGGCTGATATTTTTTTACCAGGCGATGGTTTTTGCATTTTGACTTTCTGTTCATACAGCTACAAACATGGCTGACATCTATAGGCCAGTCCACCCTTAGCCAACATGCGGACATGGGAACACGCCTTGAGACAGCGGAGGACTTCTTAGAAATTCATGAACAACTAGAACAAGACTTAAGGGTAAGTCTTCTTACAGAGATGTTTATTTAAAAAGAAATTATTACTTATTTGGTCATATGAAATGTTAATACATTTTTGCTATGGTTACCAGGAATTAGAACAATTGATACATGGCATATAATGAGAGTGGTTTCCCTTTAGTGGATGACATACATGTTGAAGAAAAAATAACTAATTAAGGGGATGTCATTTTTTGTTTTAGATCGAAAAATGAATGAAAGACTCATTGGCACTAATTTCAGGACAGAATTATTTTTCAATTTGCAAGATAAAATGTTATGTAGTATTGTTTTATAAACATTGAAAAAAGTGTTGATGATCGAAATTTTTCAAGATTACAAAATTTTAAAAAATCACAAAAAAATTTAGATATTAAATTAAAGTAATGCACCATCATCATGTTTACAGGACAAGAATGCGGAGTTGGAGACCTTGTTTGAGGCGGGGGTAAATCTGGTCAAGTCAGGGGACCAGGAGGCCCAGACTGCTGCAGGGAAGGTCGACACGCTACATAAACAGATGCAGAAGCTGCATCGTATTGTTGAGGTCCGCATTCAGCTATCCCTCGTCTACCTGTCATTCCACAAGCTTGTGCAACAGGTGAGTGAATGTCTATTTAAGGGTCCCCGTACCATTGCTTTAAAATCTGTTCCTAGGAATGGGAAGTTTTTTTCCGACAGGAAATTATCAGTTATATATCTTCTGAAAAGAAACAAATTCTTTGTTCAACTTTTATGAAATATGATAAAGATAATAGGAGCAAAATGTAATCAACAACAATGTTCTGAGAGTAAAAATATAGTAAAATATCCTTGTTGAGGTCCAAGCTTTCTGTATTTAATTGCACAAGTTTGGCGCAGGGTTTTGCGTTTTTGCATGCATAGGTGTGTGTCGCCAGGACATCACTGATACAGAATACCTTTAAAAACCTTTTTAAAATTCTGCAGAAATTGCTACAAATCTTTTAACAATATGCCTTCAGCTAATAACTTCGTTCTATTATTTTTGTCATGAAATGCTTGCTTTAGAATGTTGACAAAATACAAGGAGCTAGCTGGAATGTTTCATGTGACGTCATCGTATGCTTGTATGCTCTAATCTCTACCAAAAGTGAACGAGGAAACAATATGACGTCCTGTTTTTATGCTCTGTTACAGCTAACTACTAGCATGAGTGGGCTAGAACACATTATGACGTCGGAGACTGAGAACTTGCAGGATCTCACTGACCAGGCTATGCGCCATACGGAAGAAATGTACAACAAACTCAACGAAGTGTACAATGAAGTACAAGAAAAAGGCAGATTATTCTTCCAAAATTCGTCCACGGTAAGATACACTTTCAACCATCACCTGATAGACATGAATTGTGACGTATTTCACAATATTTGAATGCCAGTGCGAATCCTGGACTTGAGTTGAACTTTCAGGGTTGGGGCAGGTTATGCCAAACCTCTAAACCTGGTCTGTAACTCATTCATCCCTGAAATGTCATGATGAACTATTCCAACCTTTGAATTGGAAGAGTCCAAATGTGTCTTCAGGGGTGAATGAGTTAAATAATTAAATACTGTTCACACTGGGGCCGTTTCTGATATATATATCAGAATATGTCGGAGAATTAATTGAATTTGTAAGAATTGAAGATAAATATGGGATCTATAGCTTTTATGGTTCCATTGTTTTACTTGGATTTTACTAGACAGGACTGTTCCTTTGCATGTCAATTTGTCACTTTTTCAAGGTTAGTTTCATATATTTTGTCACTTGTAGTTAACAAATATTGTATGTGAGCTCCTGTTGTGATTGGAGTGTTAGGTACTGAAATTGGGTCTCTTGTGCCCGTTCTATGCAGAGTTATTGCCCTTTATTTATTTTTTGATGCAGAAGTTTGTATAATACTAGGGCTAAATGCATTGTACACAACACTCAGTCATGTTTAAAATTCTGAACTTGTACGTCATATTATTTCTGAAACATCTTTATAAGATGTCTGACTTTATCTCGTAGGTCAAAGACGACTCAACGTTAAATATAAAGGAGTCCGTCCTGACCGTGGAGAGGACTGTCGCAGAATACAGCGAACGCATGACCTATATTAGGACGGTATGGGAATCATGGCAACAGAAGGTTTCCACCAGCCGTCAATTTAAATCGCAGTGGCATCAGTTCGTTCAGGAAGCCAGGAAGGTATGATCGGATATATTTGTCACATGCATGCTCCGTGTAAATTATTTAAATGTACAAATAAAATAGCACAATTTGGTTCTGCTATTAACATTTAGCATTGTGTATTTGTTACGTTATTGAATCTCTTTCGACAAGATTAGCTGTCATATATTACTTGATGTTTATCTTAAGTAAGATTTAATGAATATTTTTATTCCAGCTGAAGTATCATCCCTTTGTCTTTTATTGTAGTTATTTATTAAACTTTATGATGGAGAAAAAATGTATAACATAATACATATATATTTATATAACAAATAAACAAATCTTAAAGTAATGATTTTGAATATATGTACATTAATCTACTGTTTGATTTGAGAATGATGATTCCAGTAAACTGTTAATTCCAGTATTTCTCTACCATCTTATACCAAATCATATCCATTTCGATTCCTTATTTGAAATTATGGAATCAAACTTAAAGAGTTACCTGGGTTCAGTTGCTCAAAATCTGTTAGCTTGATGAAAAAATATCTCAAACTTTTAATCTATAGTACGTTAAAAAAAAAAAATGAAATAAAAAACTGAAGTTATACGTAAATGGATGTGAAATGATCGTTTCAAGACAAGAAAAAAACAACATTTTTTTTTATGAATTTCAAAAAATTTATGAAAATTTTATTTTGAATATGTGAAGTTAATCACCAATTGAGCTATTAAACAGTTAAGCAACTGTGTCCAGGTTTGATCACTTCACAAGTCTTATAATTTTCATGTTAGCACATTCAGGTAGCATAAATATATTTTAATGTAAAACTGCAGACTCGCAGTTCAAAATAAAATGTTCACCAAAATAACAAATTTCGCTGTATATGATGGTGGTATGAGAAATTACTGTGCCTGCTTAATATACGAGAACACTTTTTGGCATGCCTTTTGTTCTGTTGTTGGAGAAATATCTTAAATAGATCTTTCAATTTTTCAGGAAAGACTGATAACTTAATTAGATTCATGTTAGTAAATTTCAGTTGAATAGCAAGAAACTGCCAGCTTAGATTTCTCGCAGGAAACTATTAACGGCGAAAAAGTTGTTCTCAATTTGGCTTATAACATGAGTATCAGGGATACTTCAACATTGGCTTCTTGTACATCTACTAATACTTGATGTTTGACAAAAAGAATTATTTTAATTTTTTGTTATTAATGTATATGAATAATTAATTTTAACATGGTTGCTTTAACTGAAATTAAAATTGTTTATTTAACAATTATTGATTTTTGATTTTAATTTCTATTGATTATTTAGGCTTTTCACCAGCAGTGAAAAGGTTGAAAAAAAACCCAAAAAACATGACAGTGAAAATGTAATTGTTACGAATTATATTTTTCAGACTATAGATTGGGTTTTGAAAATTGAGAACGACTTTTTCCCCGTAATTGGCGGGGAATTGGGTACATCTATAGAGGCGGCGAACGAATTCCAGCACAGACTCGATGAGTTTACCCCAACGTTTGAGGTACCTACAGTGTATTTTTATAGTCCGACAGTTTTCCTGGTTTTGGTGTTGACTGGGACTTTGTAACAAGTCTCCATCAGTATTTGCTTTTTGTGTGCGTGAAATGTCTTTGTGATTCGCATACAATATGGGCTTCCCAAATTTATTCTTTAGCTTTCAGGAAATTTTCAAGAAATTCGTGGATTCTTATATTCCCTAGCAAGACTCTGAATATGTTTTTCATTTTGAAATCTCTAAAAAATTAAATGTGTTATGGTGGTGATTTTTCTGTTATTATATCATTAAAAATATTTTTTTAGGTTAATAAAAATCAATAAAAAAATGCAAATCAATCAGTGATTTCTCAATTTTGTGAATCGAGGCTCTATTAAGGGAAAGTTTACATATTGTATGCTAAAATCATCAGGACATCTTTATTGTGCCCCTTGGTGGCCCCTGAAGGCTGGTGTTGCAGGAAAATTGTTTTGTTTTGATTGGTCAGTCAGTTTAACACCTTTTATCTCTTGTCCTCACATTGTAGACCATAGATAAGGTTATGACGACCGAGAACGCATTCTTCTACCCAAATCTAGCCGGTTACCTAGGTAACTCAACCGCATCGGCTGAAGATTTGCAGAAAAAAATTGATGAATTTACACCAACATTTAAGGTAATTCCTGCGATTTTGGGACAACAAAACATTGTTTTTGGAGAGCAAAAATATGAAAAATGGATTATTTTCACCTAATCCAGAATGCCCAGTTTTTGACATCTGACATGAACGTTAAAATTTTTGCTTTTTTTTTGTTTTCTTTCTGCCCTTTTTTTTGCATTTTAGTTGATGAATTTATTATTTTTCCTGCCATTGTCCCTAGCTTCTAGACATCATCAAATGAAAATTGGTGTCTCAATGATTTTTTGTGAGAAAAAAATTCAGTGAAATATGTTTTTCTTTTTTTTTTTGACGAAATAATTGTAAATTTTCCTTTCCTATCCATTCCGGTGAGTAAAAACTCCCCCAATAACTTATGAGGATATGAGGCTATGACTCTATAAAAGTTTGCATGACCATTTTGTACTTGTTGACCTCTCTGTACCAAATCTGTACCCGATGACAGGCTTGTTGTGGTGTGTAGATGTTGTAATTTAAAGATCTCCGGTCCCTGAGAAATCGTCAAATTGTAACCTGTATCCTCTCTCCTTCATTTCTCCTCCAATCAATTTAATTTTGGATTTTCTGCTTTTCTGCCTCTGAAAAGTATTACCTTTTCAATATCTGCCTTTTTCTAAACTTTTCTAAGCTTTTCTGTGTAAATAATTGTGTTGTTATTGTGTGTAGATGTCTATATATCTATATTTGTTTGAAAAAGTATCTGGCTGTTTCTATCATCAGAGCTTGCTCTACAGGGCCTGCTTTTTATTTCAAGAGCATTATTCCCAGCTGAACATTTTGTTTGACCAATGTACAGACGGTCTAATCATAGATATTCATAAACTTTAATTCATGGAAATGTTCTTATTTAAATCAAAAGAAATTTGGTTTATTATTTTAAACAATATTTTTTCTTTGATTGAACTTTTTTCAGTTTTTGATTTATAATTTTTTTAGGATTTTTTTTTTTTTTTTATATATATCTTTGAAGCCTTCCCTATCAGCCAGATCTTTTATTTGTAAATATCTACTAAACATTTGGGTGATTTTGTTCTTTATATGAACAGTCATGGTCACATATAAGCTTTATGCTAATTCAAACAATTGAACAATATTTGCAGTAGATTCATAATTTCTAACCAAGGTAATGCAGAGCTGTGTGTCATACAATATAGAAATAAGAATTTTCAGTAATTTTAAAATAACTTTTTGAAAAGAAGTCTTTAATGTCAACGATGGTGAGGAATATTCATTTTTGTGACTTACATGTTGTTGATCTATAATGACCTCTGTTGTGATCTTGTTATGACCCCTGTGTTGACCCCATGTTACAGAGTGCTATAGAGGAACTTGACAAGCACCTGAGCACCGCTGAGCTCATGGAAATGAAAGGAGACACCAAAGGCCAAAAGGACATGATTGTCAACGAACTTGTCAAGGTTCGCCAGCGCTTCCAGGCGCGTATACATGAGTATCGCATACTCATCAAGATGACCATTCAGTTCTTCCGTAACTTGGATCAGGTATGTACATGTACTCAAATATTTACTGTGTGGTCAGCTTGACCAGGTATGCACCCATACTCAAATGTTTACTGTGTGGTCAGCTTGACCAGGTATGTAGCCATACTGAAATATTTACTGTGTGGTCAACTTGACCAGGTATGTAGACGTACTCAAATGTTTACTGTGTGGTCAGCTTGACCAGGTATGTAGCCCTACTGAAATATTTACTGTGAGGTCAACTTGACCAGGTATGTAGACGTTCTCAAATGTTTACTGTGTGGTCAGCTTGCCCAGGTATGTAGCCATACTCAAATGTTTACTGTGTGGTCAGCTTGACCAGGTATGTACCCATACTCAAATGTTTACTGTGTGGTCAGTTTGACTCGGTATTCACCTGTACTCAAATATTTACTGTGTGGTACATCAGCTTGACCAGGTGTGAAGCCATACTGAAATATTTACTGTGTGGTCAACTTGACCAGGTATGTACCTGTACTCAAATGTTTACTGTGTGGTCAGTTCGTTCATATAAATACAAGGAAAACATATAATTAATGTAGGAAGATGTGATTCAATGAAGAAACTATCATAGAAGCTTTAAATTTGTGTACACTGAAATGTGTGTATGAGTGTGCAGGTTTCCATTTCTCAGTGAAAGGTCTTACAGAAAATTTTGGGGGGCGTAACTCCAATTTATCCGGTACTAAAGGGAAGTAACTCTGTTATAGTTGGACAAGTTGATCGAGAAGACGGAGAAGGAATACACCCAGTCAGAGCTGCCATCTGAACTGATGCAGGCGGAGAGCATGTTGGAGGAGCACAAACGTAAACAGAAGGAAGTCACCTCCCTCATCAACTTCACCTCGGGCGAGGGTGAGAAAATCGTCGTCCGTGTAAGACAAACGGTAAGTCACGTATGGAGATAAGTTTTAATTCTTCCTTACTTTAAGATTTTCAGCTCATCAGTATAGGATGCAGTGTTAATTATGTACAGTACAGACATAAACAAGTACGTGATATAGACAATAGTATAATAAACAATGTCAGGCGGTAAATAATAAGGGATTTTAAATACTTCGATAGGTCTACTGTTTCTTTTGTATATTTAACAAAAATATTTCTGTTAATTTTAGACTTGCTTTGGTTTTCAACATAATTATTTTAGAGGCATTTTTTCTTAAATCTCAAAAAAAAAGACATTTTCATGCAGAAGTAGACCAACATATTTCAGTAAGACTTAAATACCTTGTGCAAATAGTAAGTATTTTGTGTTGGTTCATTTAAAAAATAAAAAAAAATATGACTATATAGAACACTCATACATTTAAATAGTTGTATAAATCTCTCATTTTTTCCCCAACATTTTTTTTGTAGTATTTTAAGATATGGCCTTGAAGTTTTAATATGACCTTTGACCCTGTGATGTTAATTACCTTTTTTAGGATGCTGAGGCAGCAGCACAGGAGGATGTGGAGCGTGTCCTCAATGTCACCGCCGAGTACAAACAAAGGTGGAACCAAGCATGGGAGGACCAGGAGAAGCGACTCAAGCAGAACCTCCAGATCTGTCAGTTCAACTATGACCTTAGACAGGTACGCTGACTATATATATAGCTTCACACATTTTACCACTGAAATACTGTTTGCATTTCCAATTTTTTTCTGGAATAGCCAGGATAATGGCTTTTCCAGTTTTTGTTTGCATTGATTTCTAAAACTTTTGTGGTATAATGGTGACTTTGAACAAATTATTCAGGAGATTTAAGTGTAATTTGATTTCAATTTTTTTTTTTATATCCTTCATATTTATTCTAGTCGAATGCATAAATTCTTTCTGATTTTATTTTTCCAAATGTTTTAAAGTAAGGCTGGTTTTTCTCTCTCTCTTTTTTTCGACTTGTAAAATGATGTTTAATATTTTGTCAGACATTTGTGTTGTTATCTTTCGACATTGTCAACATTTGCGTTACAGATCCATTCGGAGATCGATGACCTCCACCATCATCTCCAGGCCCGGCGCGGTAGCTACGGCAACTCGCTACCTGCTGCCCGTATGACATCACAGGCCTTCAAACAGTTTGAAATGACTGTTCAGGTATGTAATCATTATCTGCGGTGTTGAAATGACTGTTCAGGTATGGAATCATTATCTGGGGTGTTGAAATGACTGTTCAGGTATGGAATCATTATCTGGGGTGTTGAAATGACTGTTCAGGTATGGAATCATTATCTGGGGTGTTGAAATGACTGTTCAGGTATGGAATCATTATCTGGGGTGTTGAAATGACTGTTCAGGTATGGAATCATTATCTGGGGTGTTGAAATGACTGTTCAGGTATGGAATCATTATCTGGGGTGTTGAAATGACTGTTCAGGTATGGAATCATTATCTGGGGTGTTGAAATGACTGTTCAGGTATGGAATCATTATCTGGGGTGTTGAAATGACTGTTCAGGTATGGAATCATTATCTGGGGTGTTGAAATGACTGTTCAGGTATGGAATCATTATCTGGGGTGTTGAAATGACTGTTCAGGTATGGAATCATTATCTGGGGTGTTGAAATGACTGTTCAGGTATGGAATCATTATCTGGGGTGTTGAAATGACTGTTCAGGTATGGAATCATTATCTGGGGTGTTGAAATGACTGTTCAGGTATGGAATCATTATCTGGGGTGTTGAAATGACTGTTCAGGTATGGAATCATTATCTGGGGTGTTGAAATGACTGTTCAGGTATGGAATCATTATCTGGGGTGTTGAAATGACTGTTCAGGTATGGAATCATTATCTGGGGTGTTGAAATGACTGTTCAGGTATGGAATCATTATCTGGGGTGTTGAAATGACTGTTCAGGTATGGAATCATTATCTGGGGTGTTGAAATGACTGTTCAGGTATGGAATCATTATCTGGGGTGTTGAAATGACTGTTCAGGTATGGAATCATTATCTGGGGTGTTGAAATGACTGTTCAGGTATGGAATCATTATCTGGGGTGTTGAAATGACTGTTCAGGTATGGAATCATTATCTGGGGTGTTGAAATGACTGTTCAGGTATGGAATCATTATCTGGGGTGTTGAAATGACTGTTCAGGTATGGAATCATTATCTGGGGTGTTGAAATGACTGTTCAGGTATGGAATCATTATCTGGGGTGTTGAAATGACTGTTCAGGTATGGAATCATTATCTGGGGTGTTGAAATGACTGTTCAGGTATGGAATCATTATCTGGGGTGTTGAAATGACTGTTCAGGTATGGAATCATTATCTGGGGTGTTGAAATGACTGTTCAGGTATGGAATCATTATCTGGGGTGTTGAAATGACTGTTCAGGTATGGAATCATTATCTGGGGTGTTGAAATGACTGTTCAGGTATGGAATCATTATCTGGGGTGTTGAAATGACTGTTCAGGTATGGAATCATTATCTGGGGTGTTGAAATGACTGTTCAGGTATGGAATCATTATCTGGGGTGTTGAAATGACTGTTCAGGTATGGAATCATTATCTGGGGTGTTGAAATGACTGTTCAGGTATGGAATCATTATCTGGGGTGTTGAAATGACTGTTCAGGTATGGAATCATTATCTGGGGTGTTGAAATGACTGTTCAGGTATGGAATCATTATCTGGGGTGTTGAAATGACTGTTCAGGTATGGAATCATTATCTGGGGTGTTGAAATGACTGTTCAGGTATGGAATCATTATCTGGGGTGTTGAAATGACTGTTCAGGTATGGAATCATTATCTGGGGTGTTGAAATGACTGTTCAGGTATGGAATCATTATCTGGGGTGTTGAAATGACTGTTCAGGTATGGAATCATTATCTGGGGTGTTGAAATGACTGTTCAGGTATGGAATCATTATCTGGGGTGTTGAAATGACTGTTCAGGTATGGAATCATTATCTGGGGTGTTGAAATGACTGTTCAGGTATGGAATCATTATCTGGGGTGTTGAAATGACTGTTCAGGTATGGAATCATTATCTGGGGTGTTGAAATGACTGTTCAGGTATGGAATCATTATCTGGGGTGTTGAAATGACTGTTCAGGTATGGAATCATTATCTGGGGTGTTGAAATGACTGTTCAGGTATGGAATCATTATCTGGGGTGTTGAAATGACTGTTCAGGTATGGAATCATTATCTGGGGTGTTGAAATGACTGTTCAGGTATGGAATCATTATCTGGGGTGTTGAAATGACTGTTCAGGTATGGAATCATTATCTGGGGTGTTGAAATGACTGTTCAGGTATGGAATCATTATCTGGGGTGTTGAAATGACTGTTCAGGTATGGAATCATTATCTGGGGTGTTGAAATGACTGTTCAGGTATGGAATCATTATCTGGGGTGTTGAAATGACTGTTCAGGTATGGAATCATTATCTGGGGTGTTGAAATGACTGTTCAGGTATGGAATCATTATCTGGGGTGTTGAAATGACTGTTCAGGTATGGAATCATTATCTGGGGTGTTGAAATGACTGTTCAGGTATGGAATCATTATCTGGGGTGTTGAAATGACTGTTCAGGTATGGAATCATTATCTGGGGTGTTGAAATGACTGTTCAGGTATGGAATCATTATCTGGGGTGTTGAAATGACTGTTCAGGTATGGAATCATTATCTGGGGTGTTGAAATGACTGTTCAGGTATGGAATCATTATCTGGGGTGTTGAAATGACTGTTCAGGTATGGAATCATTATCTGGGGTGTTGAAATGACTGTTCAGGTATGGAATCATTATCTGGGGTGTTGAAATGACTGTTCAGGTATGGAATCATTATCTGGGGTGTTGAAATGACTGTTCAGGTATGGAATCATTATCTGGGGTGTTGAAATGACTGTTCAGGTATGGAATCATTATCTGGGGTGTTGAAATGACTGTTCAGGTATGGAATCATTATCTGGGGTGTTGAAATGACTGTTCAGGTATGGAATCATTATCTGGGGTGTTGAAATGACTGTTCAGGTATGGAATCATTATCTGGGGTGTTGAAATGACTGTTCAGGTATGGAATCATTATCTGGGGTGTTGAAATGACTGTTCAGGTATGGAATCATTATCTGGGGTGTTGAAATGACTGTTCAGGTATGGAATCATTATCTGGGGTGTTGAAATGACTGTTCAGGTATGGAATCATTATCTGGGGTGTTGAAATGACTGTTCAGGTATGGAATCATTATCTGGGGTGTTGAAATGACTGTTCAGGTATGGAATCATTATCTGGGGTGTTGAAATGACTGTCCGGGTATGGAATCATTATCTGGGGTGTTGAAATGACTGTCCGGGTATGGAATCATTATCTGGGGTGTTGAAATGACTGTCCGGGTATGGAATCATTATCTGGGGTGTTGAAATGACTGTCCGGGTATGGAATCATTATCTGGGGTGTTGAAATGACTGTCCGGGTATGGAATCATTATCTGGGGTGTTGAAATGACTGTCCGGGTATGGAATCATTATCTGGGGTGTTGAAATGACTGTCCGGGTATGGAATCATTATCTGGGGTGTTGAAATGACTGTCCGGGTATGGAATCATTATCTGGGGTGTTGAAATGCAAACTGTCTGTAGAATGGTCAGAAGTAGACGTATCTTGTGATTTTAAAAAGACACAAAAGAAACATGTTTTTGATGATTTAAGTTACACTTTTATGATGAAATATCATAACAATTTTCACAAATTTTACAAAATTTTACTTTTATTGATGAATTGTCCTGTCTAAAAGAATGCATGTAATTAAAACAACTTTTACTTAAATTGAATTTAAAAGTATTTCTTTGCTAATGACCACTGACAAAAAACTAGTGCAAACATGATTTCCCACATGCATTATTTTTTTGCAAACGTCTATTATAATTTTACATATGTACTTCTTAAAAACTGTTGACTATTATTATTTTTTATATATTTTTTTTGAAGTTAAAATCAAATTTAGAAATATGAAGGTTATTTCCCCATCAATTGATATTTTTTTTCGAAACAAGCTTGCTGATGTAAGATTTGTGTTTGGTTGAACAGTTGATAGAGAAGAAGATCGGAATGTTCACCAGCACCGCCCAGGTGATGGTACAGGACCATCATTACGACGCTGTCCATATTGGGCGCGAAATCGATCTTCTGAAATCAAAATGGAGCACATTCCACACAAGTGTTGGCAACTATCGCATGTTGCTGGACGTTTCTATTACTTACTTCACGCTCACAGAAGAGGTGAGCTGTTCGTTAATTAAAACCACTCTTTATTGTACAGTTACAGGCCATCTTTTTTGTAGGTCCATCTGTATGTACAACATCTAGCGTATACTTAGCGGTTTTTTTCATCACTTTAAATGCTGGAAATTCAGCAGTCATCTAACTACTTTTGTGTATACATATCAAAGACCATTACACCAATTTTCAAATGTAGGTCACTGTGACCTATCCTTGCTTCGTTGACTGTAGTTATACTTTCCATTTAGCTTCATTTCGGTCAAAGAGAGTGTGCATGTTTTAGAAAGATTTGCTCATTAAATTTTAAGGATATCTTTTAATCCTTAATCTGATATTATTAAAGTTTCTACAATTTACATTAAAACCTCCGTCTAAATGTTCACCATCAAGCAAATAATATAAAAATACAACTATCTGATGATTTTGCAAAATGTGATTTTTTCATGAAACTGATAGTACACTTGTATTATTACTTGTTGTTGTGAAGGCAGTATGCTAATCTGTAAAATCTCCTACCCTCAGTCTGAGCAATGGATCCGTGAGGGCAATACCCTCCTGATCAATATCAGTCGGCGTGCACCAGAGTGCCGCAACCCAGAGGAGGCGGAGACTCTCGCACGCTCACTCAACTCCTTCATGGAGACGGGTAAACCTCGACAGGATGACCGGTTGAAGCATGTCTCGGAGCTGGCTATAGAACTGTACGGTGAAGAGGGAACAGCCAAGGTCCATCAGCTTTTCGTCACCAACCAGGACCTGATGATGTCCGCCCAGCAGATGGACATGGAGATCGCCAAAATACACCAGAACCTCACGCAGGCCCAGGTCAGTACAACATCTGCATTACAGACTTGTATAACGCATACGAAAGGGAGGTTATACACCAAAACATTACATGTTATAGAGTTGTATCAGATATGTATTAGACTTCTTGTAATTATTTAAATTTAATATAAAAATAATTACGTTATTGACTTGTTAGAAGCATGTTGTTATGGAAGCTCACTTTTGTTAATCACTTTCTAAACAGTTTATCTTGGTTAGATGAGAATTATTTATTAATTAGGGACAGACATCTTGATCTGATATTGTGTATCGTGAGTCTTGACACCTGCAACATGTTAGCCAGGTTTTACTTTCGAAAATGTATCATTTTTGAGTATATCCAATCTATCTGCAGTAGCAAAAAGACAACACAAGTTTTCTTACAAACTGTTTCATTTTATTTCATGCAGATGGCGCCACCAGTCCAAGAAGATGTTGTTCCCATGGAGGTTACCGTAACAGCATCTGCTGCTATCGCCAAGCAACCGCCAAGGATCACACAGCACCTCAAGGATGCCGAAGTGATGGAGGGTGAAAAGTATGTAGATTTTTTCCCCCAGAATATTGATATTCTAGTCTGTGTTTTTGATTAGTCAAACACAGGTTAAGAAATGTGGTATTTTTTATTTTTTTTCATGGATCTGGAGATTTTTATTCACAGCATCGAATTAGTTAATAAAAATAATTATCGTACAAATATCTTTGAAGTATAATTCGCTATAATGTTACCATGGTGACCATGAGATTATCAACATGTATTTCATTCTGTAGGGTCACACTTCAATGTCAAGTGGAGAGTGACCTCCCGCCAGAGGTCACTTGGTACAAAGACAATATGCCCCTTAACAGCCCAGACTACGAGACAAAGTTTGACTTTGGGCGTGCAACCTTGACCATCGAGGAAACGTTTTCCGAGGACACTGCTCGGTACACCTGTCGTTTTACAAGCCAGATTGGAGTTGCCGAAAGTTCATCTTATTTACATGTTAGAGGTATGTTTGTGTAGAGAGTTATCTCCCTCTTTGGAAATCTCCTTTGCCCTATCCTCCTTCACTTTACTGCCCAACCTCTGGATCCTTCTCACCATCGAATTCCAAGAAATGAACACTTTTTGAAAAACAGGGAAAGAAACTATTTGAAAAGTCTATTGACTCAACTCATTTATTCAGTGAAATGACTGAAACTTTTTCTTTTCTGCATATCCAGCTGTCTTTATTTTCTGTTTAAAGTTTTCAAATACGCCAAAAATATGATAATCTTTTGTTATTTCATTTTGTCATTTATTGAAAATTCCCCCCCCCAAAATGGACAATATTTTTGCCCCATGAATGTATTTTCCTGCTGTTCTGATTAACAGTGTATGTGTATAGAATATTTTGTAATCCTCAGGTTTTAACTGCTGCATACTACAGTTGACAGTTCTTGTTAATGTAGATCTCTTCCCTTCATACAATTTTTTGTTCTATTATATCTGGCATTATTCTGTTACAAAGATTGTAATGCTCTTTCAGAAACTCACCAACAGATTATCCCCCCTGACTTCACACGTAACCTGAAGTCGGTGGATGTGTTAGAGAGCGGTTCTTTTGCTTTCGAATGTCATGTGACGGGAATTCCGTCCCCCACGATTTCGTGGTACAAAGATGATATAAACATTGACAGCTCTCCCGAGTATGTCATTACTAAAATCAACGGCACATGTTGTCTCAAGATGCGTAAAGTGCTTCGCAGTCATAACGCACGTTACACGTGTCAAGCCAACAACCCAGGTGGCGAGGCTTCTTCGTCGGCCCGCCTCACTGTCATCCGTAAGCCTCTTTCTCATTCTGGCATGGTTGATATGCAACCCTTTTGTCAACTTTTCCTTTTCTCGTCATTCCTTGTTTTGTTTGAATCGGCATGATCGTTTGTAACCCACAGTTTACATTGTCTTCATAAAGACGGCATGATCATTTACAGATGGCCATTTAGGTTTTCAATTTCCGTCAGTTCTCATGACTATCTATATGGTCTGTATGAACCTGACGATGAAATAGCATGGTTTCTTCTGTTCTTTGTAAAACATTGTACTCTCTCTCAACCATAGATGCTATTGTTATATATTTTAACAGTCTTTGTCATTCGGTGAAACAAAACCATGCATGATTAATATTTATTGAAGTTTTCGTTATCATTTTATTGTAATTTGATTGATTGATTATTTTATTTATTTATTTTTTGTTCTTTATTTTTTCGATGTAGGCATGTCTCAGTGTTTTTATTCATTCAACACTTGCCCTTGTTTCCTGTGTGTTTATCTGCAGTCTGAATTGTTTTCCTTGCCTCCCCGTTTAACCTGCATTTGACTTAATGCCTTCACTATTTAATCGCCCCTCTGTCTCCGCCTGCCATAACAGATCTGTGAACCATTTGTACCTATCTCGTCGAAGTTTATAGCCAAATCAATGACCTTACGCCGTACGGTCAGACAATGATTTGCTGCTTCTGTTGGCATGTATAATTTGTTGTTTCCCAGGAAGTTCAGGGTGTCGTATATTCAATATTTATTTCATTCCTGTTTCCAAAAAATTATCAACAGTTTTTAAATATTTTGTCTCTCTAAAAACCTAATCTTACTTGCTTAGTTTCAAATTCAGCCTTTGTTGTTTGCATTTTCAAAATTCAAATATTTTGTTTATATTTCTGTAAAAAACGATTTTTCAATGTAATTTTTTATGAAATCTGGATATAGCAGTAATCTGAAATGTTTGATAAAACGTTTCCGGTATTATCACTTCGAACATTATGAATACAATTCATGACCACTATAATTATGAAGAATCACTAGGTTGATAAAACTGTGTGCACCTCTGACATGGTCAGTAAGTGTCTGTTGCCCGTTTACAGCCCTGGAGAAGCCAGTCATTCATAGTATGTCAGAAGATGTCAACATCCCAGAAGGCAAGAGCGTCAAACTGGAAATTATCTTCTCTGGCTCGCCGACTCCGGAGGTCACATGGTGCCGCAACGATGACCGAATCTCACCTAGCTCTGTGTATAAGGTTTGTGGCGGTCTCTTAGCACACTGCTTTACTTATCTGATACACAAATGTATTTTTTTGAAGAAAAAAAAAAGCGTGGTTCTATAGAAATGAGGTTAATTTTGAATTTCATGTTTGAAAGTCCCAATGATTTTAAAGATAAACAGATTTATTTTTGTCTATGATTGATTGATATATCTTGCATTGGGTATTTTGCCAAATAGTTCAGTGCCTATATTTAAAAGAAGAAATCTATATTTCCCATTGTAATGTGTGATTCATTGGTTATTTACAGATTACCATAGAGGTCAACAGGTCGGTGTTGGAAATCACTGAAGCATACACTGAGGATTCTGGGACATATAAGGTCACACTCCAGAACACAGCTGGCGAGACCCACAGGTCCTGCCAGGTCAACGTGGAGAACTTCTACTCTAGTGCAGCGTAAGTACTTACTCCCACAGGACTTCAACTGAAGGAAAGGTCAAAGGTCACTTCAAACCGAATGGCTTGTTTACATATATTCAAAGACTCTGTAATTTATGATACAGTGTAATTCATCAATCAGATTGAGAAATAATTTAAATATATTTAAGAAAGAGAGATAAAGAATTTCTATCAATCTAATAATGGTGATATCTTTCCCTGGGTGAACTCAGAACTCATATGGCAGATTTTGCTGCTATGCACATACGAAAAACATGTTTTCTGCCTAGAAAATGTGGTGTCCAATGTGAAACAGTGAAATAATTACAATAATTGAATATCATAATGAATTAAAAAAGAAAGAAAAATGCAGTAAAATTAAGAAAATATTGAAAAGGAAAAAAAAGTAGAAAACGAAAAGTATGAAATAACGTACCAATAAGTGAATTACTTTGACTTCATATGTAACTTAACCGCTTCAGTGTTTTCCATAGATTTTGGAATTTTGTGTTTCATAGATTTTTCAAGATTCCTCCGGTACTTATAGTTATATAGGACAGGGACCCTATAATAGAGCATCAACCAATGTTTTAGGGGCAAACATCCCTCATTTTGGGAACACTGTATGATATGTATATTTGATCATTAACACTGACACTTGCCTGACGTTGATTCAGGGAGGAGATGTCTATTGCTTCCCTGGAGGCAGAGCCCCTGAAGCCCAGCTTCCTACAGCCCCTGGCCGCAGCACGAGAGGTCATGGAGGGGAGCCGTGTCAGACTTGACTGTGTCATCACTGGCCACCCAGAACCAGAGGTAGGCTGTAACTTCTTTAAAAAGCTGGATACTTACAATTATTTTGATACATATATAGTATTATAGTTCGTAAATGATCTTTGAGACAATTGATCTATATGAAAAAAATCTGTAGAAAATAGCGTTGTGCAAGAAATTTTATTTTTCCATAAAATAAAGTTCTTGTGGACTTATCTACTTAGAATATAGAGCTTTTTATTACATTTTTGACAGTTAACCTTGATTCATTGTATTTATACCGGGAATTTTTTGTACAGTCAAACTTTCACTCTTTGGCAGAATAATCTGTGTTCACCCAGTGCTAATTGCCGTTCACATTTAACTATTATGCATGTTATGTTGTTTTCTAACGTTTGTTTAAATGATAAATTTGCCTTCATTACAGCGGGCGAAAAAGTAGAAAATTTAAACTGCAGCGAAAAATATCCCGGTATACAGTAAGAAAAATTCTCTGTTTCACATGTTAGTTATCTCCCCTTTGTGTTGCCTAGGTGATCTGGTTCCGTAAAGACAAACCAGTAAAGGAGTCTAAGGACATACAACTGTTGTTTGAGGGAGACCGATGCACATTAAGTATCCGTGAGGCCTACCTTGAGGATAGTGGCCTATATCGCTGTTTGGCTCGTAACCAGCATGGCGAGGCAGAGAGCGTCTGTAAACTCCATGTTGAACGTAAGTAAAAAAAACTCAGGAAAGTAAAAGACGTCCACGCCATATCTAACGATTTGAGCGCGAGACTCACGAAAATTAATTCAGAAAAATTCCTCTCGGCGTGAGACACATCTTTTACGAATTTAAATCGGTCTCACAAAAAGAAACAATGTTTGATCAATCTTGGTGAATACCAAATATGGTAAAAGGCAATAAATTAATATTGATTTAAGTTCAGATATCTTCCGAATTTAAACTGAATATCAGAATGATTTGACATGTACGTTTGTTGTACTGAGATTAATGTCGTCTGTTTCAGCGTTGAGCGAGTTGAGCGACGCCTCATGTGGCGAAGTAGCCGCACCCAAGTTCACACAACTGTTACGTGACCTGTCCATCCCGATTGGTCACCGTGTGTGTCTGCAGTGCCGCGTGACAGGTCACCCTGTCCCCGATATACAGTGGTACAAGGACAACAAACTCATCGAAAACAGTCCTGATTATCAGGTGACTACTATTGACCAATCAGAAAACAGGACAACCTTAATGGTCCCTTACCATTATTTTTAAAGGACCAGTTATGTTTATTTTCTGAAAGGAACTCTCCAGATGTTCCTTGTGTGATTGTGTTGGGGCTACCTATAGATAGATATTTCATTTAAAGGAAACTCTTAGAGAAAGTGTTGTCTGCATCAAATTCAATGTTCTATGTATTAAAAATTAAAAGAAGTCAGAGAAATAAATTTGGGAAGTCACAAGTGTACACTAGGATATCTATATTTCTTTTACTAAAATAAATAAATAGATATATCCCTTTAAATTATCAGGCCTACTGATATGGTGATAGTTATAACTATTGAAAATGTTACCAAAAATTTTGACTCTGGAAATTTATTAAGATCAAAAGAAGAAAATTGGACCCCCATAAAATTTAACTTCATTCCAGTAGAATAATAATTTCACTTGACAATGTCTCCAGGTGACTGCCTTTGCTGATGTTCACAATCTGACGATTCCCGAGACATTCGAGGAAGATACTGGAAACTACATGGTTCGTGCCACAAACCTGGCCGGCGAGGCCAAGTGTTACTCCAAGCTGTCGGTGAAGGCAGCACCAACAGAGCAAATCCAGGAGGCTGAGGTGATGCGTATCCGACGCGTGGTGGAAACAAAGGAGTCCAACATGATCGTCAAACGCGATGACGGTCTGGATCAATCGCCGCCAGAATTCCAGAAACTTTTCCAAGACATGACTGTCAATGCTGGGGACAACGTCACATTTGAATGCTCAATTACTGGCAGTCCCAAACCCAAGGTAAGGAGGCGGCTCAATGGTTAACAAAGGGGGTGTGGTCAAGGGGGTGTGGCATAGCAAAATGGGTGTGGTCCAGAGTTGGGGTAAAATAAAAAGGGGTGTGGTCAAGGGGGGGGTAGCATAGCAAAATGGGTGTGGTCCAGAGTTGGGGTAAAATAAAAAGGGGTGTGGTCAAGGGGGTGTAGCATAACAAAATGGGTGTGGTCAGTGTAACCTAGATAGGGGCCTTGGTTAAATCAGTGGTGAAAAATCAAAATGGGGATCGATTGATATTAAGGGCTGGCTATACCTTCATAGATGTGATAGTATCAAAACAGGGTTTATTTTTGTGTTACTGACAAAGCTGTTTGTGTCTGTCTAGGTCACATGGTACTTTAACAGTGAGCCTGTCGTCTCCCGCGACTACCAGATCTCTATGGAGGTCAACACTTACAGGCTATACATCCCAGAAGTGTTTGATGAGGATGCAGGTCGCTTCTCCATCACCGCGGAGAACCCATCAGGCAAGGCAACTTGCTCAGCTTGTCTTAACGTAGACGAAGAACCAACGATCCCAAAGACGAGAATATTTGGAAACACGGAAATGCTGTAAGTATGATAAAGAAAATCCAAAACACTTTAAAGCGTAAAGATTTGTTTATATGGAAAAATTGTTGCAAAAATTTTACTTAAAAGAAATTCCACAGATATGTTTATATGCAAATAAATTCTAGGAAACTGTAAAACAGAAAAGGTTTGTGTGTATTATATTTTTGCATCCATTTTTGAATTTTCATCCTTGTGTTATTAATGAAAAGGCCAGAGGGCAAAAGTATTATGATTTACCGTTGACAAAATCACAACGTACGCTCTCTGTTTGTTACGACTCAAATATTTTGCTATTTTATTACAACTGTTAAATAAAACTTATGACACATTGTATCTATTTTTAGATCCAAGCGTTTGTCTCGAACGGAGACAACAACGACTGAAACACACGTCAAGCACATATACCAGTCAACACGACAACCAGACACCTACATCCCGTCGTACGAGTCGCACTCGACCACCATTTTGACCGATGTGTCTGATGCCGAGCCCGTTCCAATGATTGGGACCACAGAGCACTATGCTACCACCATCAAGACTGATGTGCCGCCCACCTTCAAGCCGGTGGATCTGACCATTGCCGTGCCGATCCCTCCCAAGTTCCTCCAGCCGCTGAAAAACATCACAGCCGCGGAGGGCAGTAAGGTCGTGTTTGAGGGAGTCGTGTCAGGTATGTAGCTCAAAACCTGCTTTTATCATGTGTAACTGTGATAAGCTGAGGTCGCCAAAAATATTCTTCGCTTCTCACCAATATCTTTTTTTTTCAAGTATGACTGCATAATGTGAAAAGGGTTTATTGCCAGACAAACCATTTTCAGTTAAAATTGTTAAGAAACATTTTAAGTTAATTTAGAGTCTGGGCTTGTGACCTGTACAATGTTATTAGTTGATCTAATACAAAAATCTTGTAAGTAAAGAACTGGTTTTAATACAGTTTGCATTCGCATAAAAGACTTGCAAAATATCCATTATAAATCTTTCACTTAAATCATACAGTCAGAAAGATGATTTGTGATCTGGTTGGAGATTGTTAGATTACATTGATCCAGTCATGTAGTTTTGGGCTATTGGCTATTAAAAAAACAGCATTTTTTTTGGTGATGCTGCCAACTCAGTAAACCAATGACTTGATCTCATCAGCTCTATTGATTGTAGTGTCATGTTTCACTGCATTCTGAGGTGTAATCAGACAGACGATGTAGTCTTTTCCTGGATAAAAGGACGTTTTCATCAATAGTGATATCTAATACATGTCAATAATTAATTTACAGGCAAACCCGAGCCAACCATCAAGTGGTTCCGTGAAGGCAAGCAGCTCACGGACAAAGCTGACTTTGAGATTGGCTACAGAGACGGACGTGTCTCATTGACCATTCCAGAAGTTTTTGAGGAGGACGCCGGGCGTTTTGAGTGCCAGGCCGATAACGAGGGAGGCAACGCAACTAGCTCATCACAGCTTGTGGTTAGAGGTACGTTTCTTAAATTGTTGTCACGTTTTTAATCGTAAGTTGGAGATAAAATTTCAAATTCGTTTTTGCCGAATCTGAAAATAGAATAATGATTGACATCATTTGGATAAGAAAATGAAAGTGTCTGAATGAAAACCTCGTAAGAAAGTCTGATCGGAAGGTTGTAAAGTTGATGAATTTCCAGGCTCTGGAAATCATTGGTTTGTTGCAGTGTGGAAAAAGTGTAAACATCATGAAGAAACAAAGTTTGAGCAATGAATCCTAATCATGTTTGATTTTGCAAATATGGTGTAATTGTTTCAGCTACCATGATTCCTCCAAATTTCACGGAGAAACTGAAGATCGTGGAAACACGTGAAGGCCAGGCTGTGCGCTTCACTGTGCGTGTGTCCGGCCAGCCGCCCCCTACAGTGACCTGGTACCGTGATGGCGCCCAGGTGGTGAGCTCCCGAGACTTTGAGATAATCACGGAGGGAGACCTCCACACTCTGTACATTCCAGAGGTGTTCCAAGAGGATGGCGGAAACTTTACCGTCACAGCCGAAAATCCTGCCGGACACGCTCAGTGTACAACCGAACTCAGGATTATGGGTGAGTTAAATTCTAAGATGGGAGAACCACTATCTGTTGCAGTAGCTTCTGTTATGTTCATAATGAAATGAAAAAGAAAAGTGATCCAAGTTTTGAAATCGATAAAAATATTCTGGTCAGTGGTATATCTTTTTCGGCTTTTGTGTTAGAGAACCCTGCTGTAATGGTAGGTTATAGTTTTTAATATCACAATATAGTAAAAATTACTATTGACATAACGCAAAACAGTAAAACATGAGTACTGGTTTCTGATTTTTATTTGTTAAAAAAAAAATGTGTGACTATTGTCTTTAATAAGGTTTTATTTAAGATTTTTGAGTCCTGTCTGTTGTTGTTTCAGCCCCTATGGAGCAGGTCCCAGCCCCTGTATACAAGCCTGTGACAGAGGTAAGGGAAACCTTCGACCAGAGGAGGGCCCCACTAAGAGAAGCTCCAAAGCCTATCGAGCCCACAGAGGAACCAAGCGCAAAGGTTCCCAAGCTGCAGCGCCCATCACAATTTGTTAAACGGCCAGAACCAAAACCACAAATGTTTAGTGAACAGATTGAGTTGCAGGTCGACAGTAAGCCAAAATTTGCCGCCTTTGAGAAGCGAGTTGAGCTGTTCAAGGAACATGCACCAGAGGAGGAAGTACCTCCCCCGCTGCCGACATCTAAACCCCCTGTGTTTGTCACCACCAAAGAGAAGCCCGTCTTTACACAGGTATAACTCCAATCTGTCAGAAACAAGTCATGAATATATGATTATAATTACTGTTTAGCACTTATATTTACTGTTTAGCACTTATATTTACCTTTGATCACTTATATTTACTGTTTAGTACTTATATTTACTGTTTAGCACTTAAATTTACTTTTTAGCACTTATATTTACCGTTGAACACTTATATTTACTGTTTAGCACTTATATTTACTGTATAGTACTTATATCTACTGTATAGAACTTATATCCACTGTATATAACTTATATCTACTGTATATAACTCATATCTACTGTATAGAACATATATCTACTGTATAGAACTTATATCTACTGTATAGTACTTATATCTACTGTATAGTACTTACATCTACTGTATAGAACGTATATCTACTGTATAGTACTTATATCTACTGTATAGTACTTATATCTACTGTATAGTACTTATATATCTACTGTATAGTACTTATATATACTGTATAGTACTTATATCTACTGTATAGAACTCATATCTACTGTATAGTACTTATATTCACTGTTTAGCAGTTATATTTACTGTATAGTACTTATATCTACTGTATAGTACTTATATCTACTGTATAGTACTTATATATACTGTACAGTAATTTTATCTACTGTTTAACTCCTATATTTTGAGAGATTATGATTTGACATATTATGATTTAAAACAAATATGAGAAATACATAAACTTGGTGTAATCATTTGCATTCTTGAACAATATTAAATCACTGATATGTATTTTTCAGTAACAAAACTTTGACATTTGACCACCGGCACAATTATACAAAATATGAAACCAACTTAACTTTATTGTGTTACAGACACTGAAGAATGTGTCCGTGTGTGAAGGAGAACGGGTCGTGTTTGAGTGCCGTATATCGGCTCACCCTGAACCGATCATCAAATGGTTCAGAGAAACCGTTGTCATCACAAGCTCCCCAGACTATGAGATCACGTGGGAGAACAACACTGCCAGACTTACGATTGCCGAGATATTCCCCGAGGACACAGGAGTCTTCAAGTGTGTGGCTACTAACGCTGAGGGAAGTTCCACATCTGAGGCTAGACTCGTCGTCAAACGTAATCCACTTTTTATTTTGTAAAAAAAGTGATCATTGATGCTGTGAAAGTAGGAAATGATTGCATGTAAAAGAGAAAATCCATTTTACAACTGAAAATCATGTTGTTTTTGATAAATATCAAATATTTTCTCCTAATGTTTTAAAGATATACTTAGATAATATGAAAATTTAACTGTCATCTAACATTCATTGTGAAAGTCAAATAGAAAATATTGGTACGCCCAACTTTTATACAAATCCTATATTTCCTTGTTGCCTGCTAGTTCTTATTGGAAGTTTGTACTAGTGAAACACTGTAAAAACAAAAAACGGAAAAATATTTCACTTGAAAACCTCTTGTTATTCAATTCATACAAATTATAATAACCAGAATCTGGATTGATTTTAATACTGAATGAAACCATGTTGTACATGTTGTATATACAATTTCAAACACATGTCTATTTCCATTAACTGAACAGCGGCAACTCCTGAGCCAGACGTTCCAATTACCGAGGAACCCGTCCAGCAAGTCAAGGCGCCCAGGCGCGATGAGAAGGTACCAGCAATGACCCCCATCCGTCCACAATTCACCGACAAACCTGGGAACTCTCGCCTTGTCGAGGCCACCAACACCATCTTTGAATGTCATGTGACAGGAGTCCCCTTCCCAGAAATCTCCTGGATGAAGAGAGGATTTCCAATGAGGACAGATAATAGGTGAGAAAGAAATTGTCCTCATTTATCATGTATGGTATGTTTCTCTTAATATCATGTTATATTTGTTAGAGGAAAATGTGATATAAAGAGGAATATGATATAAAAGAAATTTGATATAAATAGGAATGTGTTATAAAGATGACTTTGATACAAAGAGGATATGATATAATATGAATGTGATGTAATGCAGATTGTGACATTAAAGGAAATGTGATATAAAGCAGTATGTTATATTAAGTTAAGAAATGATATAAAGCAGGATGTGACATTAAAAGCACAACTATGGAAATAAAATATGTTGGGTACAAACTGAAATTGGTCTGTTTTACACATGGACATAGTTTGAAGCCTGAACAGGGTACTTTTTACAAATGTATTTGACAATAAGCAGTACATGCTGATATTAAGAGAAACTCTTGTAAATCACATGATATGAGCAAACTAAAATGATATACAAAATCTATACATTTTTTTTAATGATATTATCATATTAATCAAAATATGACATGGATCTTCAGGACATTGAGTTGAAAGTTGTCATTTATCATACTTAAACATTAGTCTACTGATCATAAAGCTGTTACAACAGCCATGATAGACGTGTTATTAAAGGGAAATCAAATACATTTCTTCTATACAAGGTGTGGAATAGTTTTACCAGTGGATCATTGAGAATTGACTTAAAGCTAAATGTACTGTGAGATTTTAGAAATTTATTTTATTTTTTTAAATTTCCTCAATTTATTTTTCAGACACAGAATGACCGTTGACACTCTGAGTGGCCGTTGTTCACTGACCATCTCTCACTGTCGTCCTGATGATGCTGGAGAGTACACATGTACAGCGGTCAATTTGGCTGGAGAAGACACCGTCACAGCCAAACTACTGCCCGCAGAAGGTCAGTTTAAGTCCTAGATAAGTAGGGGGACGGAGGTATTGTGTTGTTACTTTTCGTCTCTAAGAAGCCTGAACTTACGTGAATCATATAATCGGATAACCCTTTCAACCCTATGTAACTTTAGTAGAATCTATCATGCATTGATCTAGATGAGTCCATTATTGACTGCAGTGGTGAAAGAGTTAAACTGTAAACGTATTAAACGTATCTTGCCAATTTGTTCTTGAATATTTCTAAAACAAATATCTTGAATAAGTAACAAATTATAAACAACTTTTGAGTGTGTTCCTGAATATAAGCATTGATCTAGCAAGCAAATTTCATGGAATGTCTCGTTCAGCATCAGGTATTTTGAATTATATTATCGTGTTTTCTAGTGAGGGCCCCATCACCACCACCTCCGCCTATGGTGTCCATTCCCGTCGCTCCACTGAAGAGCTGGCAGCCAGTATCGGCTGAGCCAAGGGAGACACAAGTTCCTGTCCAGGAACCGGTAACCAGGAAACCTTGGGAACCAGTTCAGGCCCAGAAACAGCAGCCGGTTTCTGCACCACAGAAGACCTGGGAGCCACCGATGACGGAGCTTAGAGCTCGTATGGAGGCCCCACAGCGCCATCCCCAGGAGTTTGTGGTTACACGTGCCGAGAAGATCCTGGAGAGCAATCTCCAATATAGGAGATCAAAGGAACCAGAGGAGAAGAAACCAGCACCTGTACAGGTAAGTACACATGACATAGAAATCTGCCTCTCCAGCATGTTTAGAAAAATCTACCTGCCTTCCCGTTTAATTAGATGATTTTATGAATAAAAGTTGTTTGGAATCTGCTATCTGCTATAAATTATAATTTTTAGAAAATGTTTTTTTATGAAATTCTCTTGATCTACAAACCCAATGATTACATTACTTTTTTTTTTTTTGACAGTAATTAAAAAAATAAAACCATAGTAACACAGTATAATTTCACAAATTTGTAATATCCTGTTTGGATTTGGTACAGGATTTCCAGTCCGTAGGATTTGAGCAGAGATTAATGAGCGAGGACTACATGCGTGACGGACACATTAAGATTTCCAGTGAGACAGAAACTTCAGAATACGAGTCCGAACTACAGGATGACCGCGGACCACCAGCGCCTCCCGCTAGCCCAGCCATCATCCAGAAGCTTAAGGACTTCCGTCTCATTGAGGGCTCAGATGCAACCTTTGTATGCAGAGTCACAGGTCGTCCCAGGCCAAAGGTCAGTTTCAAATTTAAAAAGCAATATTAATCCAAAAGAAGAGAAATGAATTTGTTATAAAGAGATATGATAAATTTATAGATATTGCCAGTTTAGGATTGTATAGATGCTGGGTCAAAATTTGATCATGAGATAGTTGAAATCTTAAGTAAAATTCTTAATTCGAAAACTGCTGATGATTGATTATTCAAGTCTCGATTCTTTACAAACACACTGATGCTTCAGATTGCCTGGTACAAAAATGGACACAGGATCAAACGGTCCAACAGATACGAGATGAAATACACGAAGGACGGATACTGCACACTCCGTATCCGCATCGCTCTGCCAGAGGATGCTGGTCACTTCACCATCCTGGCGGTCAACGCTGCGGGCAAGGCCACCTGTTCCAGCATGTTGTACGTGGACAGTGTTGGTCAGATTGACTCGACCTCCTTTGTGGCTCCCACCACACTGGAGAAGATTGCCAGCAAGTAAGTGTCTCGTCCCACCCATATAATGTGTGATAGGATTCCTGTACTGTAGGAGGTGTGACATCCTCGATAACGTCATGGGTCAAGTTTTGGACAGTGTCATTGTAAAGTTAAAGATGTGGTATTGTGATGACTTCAATGTTTAGTGATGAAGTAGAAATATAAAAATTTAACCTGCATATTGCAACTCTGTGCTATCTACTTTTGAGCTTCAGTTACAGAACCTACGTTTTTCACTAAAAAAAGTCTGTATATTATTTGAACAATTTTCTGGTTAAGTTTGACATTAAGAAAGTGACATTGCATAGTAAACATGTGAACTTAAGATAAAGATACTACACTGTTAACCTTTGACCCTTTATAAAGATGAACTGCATTGTTGACCTATGACCTTCAGAGAGACTGGACTGTTAAGATTGGAACTTTTGATAAGGACACTACACTTTTAACCTCAGACCTTTAGATATATACATTGTTGACCTTTGACCTTCTAGGGACAAGGCCAAGAGCCAGAGGCCCGAGGACCAGAGTGGAATCCTTGAGGCACTACTGCGACCAACCTTCAAAAAGGTCCCAGAGAGTCTGCAGGCCAGGGAAGGTCAAACGGTCAGACTGGACACCGTTGTGTCTGGCCGTCCAGCCCCCGAACTCACCTGGTACAGAGATGGACAGCCTGTCCGTAATGACAATAATCACAAGGTAGGGCTCATTGTGGTATCGATAACGTTCGTAAGATTTTATTATTGTTGAAAGTCTCATGTGTGAACGTTTGTATTATGTATTATTTTACTGTGACTTGAACAATAATGATCCTGATCTATTTTTCAGACCGTGGTCAATGAGGATGGAGTTAACTCCCTTATCATTCTGTCTGCGACACGTTACGATGCAGGAACCTACATGTGTGTAGCCAAATCTAAGGCTGGTGAAAACTCGTTCAACGTCATCGTCGCCATCCTAGGTAAGTCATCGTATTGATTGGAATTGAGAGTTACATACTTAATATTAATGGAAATATAATTTTCATTTTATATATTTCAATATTGATATCAAATTTTATCAAGTTTGTATAACTAACAGATCTTTCCAAATGTTTATGCACGTGTCTGAATTAGGTAACTGAAAAAATAATTTCGAAAGAAATCTGTTTTATTCTTCAAAATTAACAGACATACTTATATAATACAATATGCTGTAATACAATACATTGTTTTGATAAAATGTTTTGATAGAATACAAAGTAACAAAATGTTTTGATAGAAAAATATGTAATACAATGTTTTGATAGAATATAATGTAATACAATGTTTTGATAGAATACAATGTAATACAATGTTTTGATAGAATACAACATAATACAATACAATGCAGTGTGTTGACAAAATACAATGTAATACAATGTTTTCATTAAATACAACATAATACAATACAATGCAGTGTGTTGACAGAATACAATGTAATACAATGTATTTATTACGTTTTACAGAGAAGGAGATGTTACAGCCACCAAAGTTCCAAAACAGAATCCCGAACGTGACGGCCAAGGCCGGGGAGCCGATTACCTTGACCTGCGACGTCAGTGGCACGCCCACACCAATGATCAGCTGGCAGAAGGACGGCAAGATGCTTGTACCTAGCAACCCATACAGGTGTGTAGCGACAGACTAATTTAATGTACCACAGTTTTCATGCAGAGTAAAGTAATTTCAACCCAAGATGAAAATATGTATTTCAGGTCAAGGTTCACCAAACTAGTTGTGTTAGAATATCTAAGTGTAAAATCTTTCAATTCTTCCAAAATTGACTGCAATCTGTTACTCTATTTCCAAAATTGGTTAAATTAATTTTGTTTGTACAATTTGGGCTTTATATGATGAGATATTTACCAATTCTTTTGACCTTGCAGGATTGACATCGAGGGTAACCGCTCCACACTGTACATAGAACGCTGCGAGCCCACAGACTCGGCTTGGTTCCAGTGCTCTGCCATCAACGTGGCAGGAAGTGCCAGTACCAGGGCCAAGGTCCAAGTAGCAGGTACATGTCATTTAAAAGTCTGTACACAGATATCTCACAGTGTCCACATACTTGCAAAATCTCCATTGTACAGATTTTTACTCATTTTTGACTATCTTAAATTGGCAGCATGGTATTTTACGCTGTTATTATGTCAAATTGGAATCATTTTTTTTTTTTTTTTAGAAAATATTAGATTTTGACATAAGGTTTCTCCTCAAGGAAAATTTTGAAAAGTTGTTAAGTATGGATTCTGATTTAACGATAGTCCCTCTGATAATATGTGTCAAATTTTACGTTTTCTATTCGGATGTTCCAACATCATTCATAAAAGTTCTTCCTTTACTTACATGATTTTGAGCGAAATTTTCATTCACCTCTTGTCAAAGGTTATTTTTAATCAATTTCTTTTCATTGTTATGTAAAATACTTAAAAATCTTCCTGCTGATTTGTTTGAGGAGAAGTGGTTTTGATTTTTCGTTAAAATCTTCTATATAAACATTGATAAACAATAGAGAATAAACAGGGGACATAACTCTGAGATAACTCTGGTTTTGTCTACAGTTGAGATTCCCAAGCCTGAACCTGTGAAGAAATTTACTGTACCCAAGGTCTCATCATCACCACCTCATGTGGCTCCCAAACCGTCACAGGTGGTGCCTAAAGTTGCCCCACAGGTACAGACCAAACCAGTGAGGATGCCTGGATCACAGTCACCACCGTAAGTACTGCTTTAAGGTCGGGAGGACAGCGAGGGGCAGTGAGAGATACACAGGGGCAGGGAGGGGTATGGAAGGGCAGGGAGGGACAGAGGGGGACATGGAGGTGAAGGGAGGGAAATGGAAGGGCATTAAGAGACAGATGATGAGGTGTAGGGAGGGAAAGGGAAGGGCAGGAAGAGACAGGAGAGAGGTAAGGAGGTGCAGGGAGAGATATGGAAGGCAAGGAGGAAAATGGAGGAATAGAAAAAGGAAAAGAAATAAAAATTTGGGGAGGGACAGAGAGGGATATGGAGGGGTAGGCGATAAGACCAGGAAAGGAACGGAGAGATAGGTCAGAGAAAAGTCATTAAATGTCAACATCACCATTGAAGTGAATCAGGGTTAACAGGTTATAACCAGCCTCAAGGGTTATATACATGTGTAATGTATAGACATATTGTATATATGCTTTGTGTATCATACTTCTTCATGCTTTACTGTAATCTCACGTTGCTGACATATATCCTCTCCATCCTACTTCAGCTTCTGCTACACTGTACTTACCATTGCTTTAAGCTCAGATTTGCATTTATCTGATCATTGTATATCAACAATATGCTTTTCAATTATGATGTTGGGAAAAACCTTGTACATACAGCTAACGTCTTTGCATCCATTACGATCAATCGGATGGCTTCATACAAATATTACAACAGCCAATCAGGTGACTTGATACAAATATTACAACAGCCAATCAGGTGACTTGATACAAATATTACAACAGCCAATCAGGTGACTTGATAAAAATATCACAACAGCCAATCAGAGCACTTGAAACAGATTCTATAACAGTTGTGTTAATTTCCCCCTACAGTCACTATGATATCCAATCAGAGGGCTTGGTACAACAGATCTCGTACAGCACGGAAGCAGGAAGTGCTCTTATGCGTCTAATCAAAGAGGAGGACGCATCAAGGTTCATACCTTTGTCTGCATGGCATGATAACTTCTAGATGTGTTTTTGTGTGAACATTTTGGTCCAAAACTTGTGTACAATCTCGGTTTTCTTTTTGAAAACGACCATTTTCTGTCCTCTGTCAAAGATTTTTACCAGCTTTTTACCCAATGATTTAATATTGAAAGATTTAAAGATGGAACAACCAGTCCTTGTAATCTTGTATCTGAAAATCTATTCCTGCATGAACTTGCTCTAAGTTGATCTTGAAAATACAATTACAATCTTCCTTTCTCCTCTACCTTAAGTGTGGAGTGATATCCTTTTTTTAAGCCTTGCTAGCCCCGATTGTAATTTTGTCCTCCATGTTACTGTGAATCCTTTCCAACCCACATTGCACCTGCTTTGTTTCTAGTTGGTACGATATACATAAGGAGGGCCCCGTACAACAGATATCGTATGCCTCTGAATTGGAAAGTGGGACGTTACGCCTCAAGGGTACACCCACCCCACCTAAAGAGGATAGGTTGGTCGTTTTACTGTATGGTTATAAAGCCTTGTTGTATGGTCCCTGTTATGTATGGCTACAGCGTATGAATAACGTAGCGACTTTTCAGGCCATGCAAATCAATGTTGTCTGTTCTAACACTACGGATATGAATTTGCCAAAACTGTACTCAACTTTAAATTAGTATGTTTTTTTACTTAAAAGTAATGTAACATTTCCACATACAGTGAAAACTCATAAATTCGAACTAAAATAAATTGAATTTTCACATAATTACTATTGAACTAGCTTAATGAGCTAGCTTTACGATTCTGGTACCTATTTTATCAAGATTTTTTAAAGGAAGCTGAAATATTCAGATTTAAGAGGTTTCACTGTACACTAGCTAAGAAGCTAGCGTGTCAAATAAAATGTGATATTGTTAGATTTTGTTCGTCTGTGGCCTAGATATTAACTTGATGGCTGTTTTGTGCAGACTAACATAGATCATACTCTTACTCTCTAATACGACGGCAAAGACATCTGAATCGGTTGCTATGACAACTATACGTTGTTTATAGATGGGCCGATTCTCACAGAGATTCTCGTGTAGTTTTATGTCCTAACAACGTTGTACTATTATTGGCATGAAAGCATCCTTCCTGACTGATTGATTGTAGACAAACCTTCAAGATTTTGCAACAATGGCAACAATTAGAACTACATGTATTATTGGTAAATTCTGCAATGGTTTTGTTTTCCTGATTTTCCTGGTAGTTTTGATCTGATAATTTCAACACTTCCACTAAATTTCTATAAACTTTGATTATGTTTGATCTAATATAAACAGGTGCTTCAATTTAGGAAGAACAGATGTAAAACTAACCTGCCATTTATGCTAATTACCTGTTATGTAGATATCTAACTAAGAATGGACCGAAGCATGTTTCAAGTAATTTAAAATTGTAATATCAAGGATTCGCTGTATTTAAAAAACTTGATTAAATATGAATGAAAATTTAAAAAAATTGCATGACATTTACCAAAGACTGAAACCGTTATTGCGTTCAATTATAACATGACATCCCAGCACAAATACGTCAAAATGGTATATCCCACAATGCACTGCAGCAGCATGAACGATATGCGTAAAATGCAAGCAGAATGCAACGCTGTATACTATACAGCCTGCCTAAGTAACTAGCTGTCCCGGAATGACCCATATTAGCATCTTAAAACTTAGAAACCCCTAGGTATCTAGACGATATGCTTTTAGAATAGAGATGACCTTGTTATTTCAAGGTCAGTAAGACTTCATTGTGTCAAGGTCATTGAGACTTTGTATTGATTTCAATAAAAAATGATCAATATTTTGTTTTCTTGTATAGCGTCTAGTAATTTCGTCATGAAATAGTCAACAAATTTTAATATCACACTTTGTGAATTGATATATTTCAGGAACAGTAACTGTGTCATACAAAATATAAGCTAAACTTATCAAACTGTTGTTTAAGATTCACAATAAATTAAAAGATTTTCAAATAGCACTTTGAAGATTTGTATGATAAATGGCTTACTCTCTGTGGCTGTGACTTTGTGTAGCCCCCCAGCGAAGCCTCACACTCAAAAACCAAGCGAGCAGACGTATAATCGCCCGTTTCCACGGGTACCGCCCCCTACTCCTGCCTCCACATCTGTGGAATCCTCTCCCGTCGTCAAACGTCGCAAGTTAGTACCGAAACTTTGTGTCCGCAACAGAAATATCAATTGGAAATGTTCAGTTAACAATAAAATTGTATTTGTTTTTGTGGAAAAGAAATCAATGTTTTATCTTTCCTTATACATTGTTTTATGCATGTGGGTGACATTTTGATTTGGTTTGGTTTACCTCTCCTTCTTCACTTATGGGTGTGAATTTGATTTTTGAGTTTTTGATCCAAAATATTTTCTTTTCATTACAGATTGTCTTCAATATCTGGATCTATTTTAAAATGATTCTTTTTAAATTTGAAATAAAATAAACTATTTTGAAAAAACATGTTCAGATTGAAAAATATTTTGTTTCAGTTTCCTTTTTACATGAAATGTAAGAATAATATTATGTTGTTGCAAACATATACTGACCTCTGACCTTGTTCTGTATTTGACTTTGACTTACCTTGTTCCTGCTCAGGATCACAACCAAGGCTCACATCACACCTGCTCTGCCACCAATGGTTCCTGTTGCGGTGCCAGTAGCAGCGCCCCCTACAGCAGAAGAACCAATGGAAGAGGAGGAAACCATTTTGCCTCAAAACGTGGCTGATGCCAAAAGAAGATTTGAGACCCCTGAGAAATCATTGCCACCTGTCGGCAAGCCACCTAAGGCTCCGATGAAACATGTGGCATCACCCAAACCTGTAGCACCACATAAACCTTCACCCAAGCCTGTGGCACAGGAGCCAATGTTCCGCCCAGAGTCGGTGAAGCGTGACGAAGTACCACCAGTACGTGTCCAGCCCCCGACTCAGTCACCAGTGAGACATGTCGAGGCCCCGTGGCCAAAGGAGCTGTCACCAATGCCTGCCCGGAAGGACGTCCTGCCAATTCCACCTGGCGTACCTGGAGCGTAAATACACTTTCTAACTCGGCATGAAACTCCTCAATTTAAAATTCCGTCACTGATCGGTTTCATATTCAATATGATCATTAAATTTTAAAATTGTTGGCCTAATGCGAAGCTGCCCTTCAAAACCTAACCAACGATTATGTATTTTATGGATCATAGTTTCCAGTTTTTCTTTTATTCTGAATTTGTATGATGAAAATTTCAAGGATTCTCCTTTTTATGATACAGTTGTGCATGCAGATATGATTTCCAAAGAAAATCATGATTTGATACTTTTTGAAATCTAAGTAAGACATTGATTGGATATTCAACAGCTATGACATCCAATCTGAGGGCCCGGTACAGATGATCACCTATGTGTCAGACACCGAGGCCGGTTACCTCCGTCTCGTCTCAGAGGACGAACTCGACTCATCAAGGTCAAGGTGCGGCCATCTTTGATTCTCAGAATGCGCATGAAAAAGTGTTTTGTGTGTATTCAGTACGATTTTGCAGAACAGGGAAATGCATGTTGTTGACAATTGTTGACAAGATTCAGGAACCACACCATTTGAAGACATCTTCATCAAAGTTTTCTAATAACAAGGTTGCGAAGAAAATGAACGACAGGAAAATAAATTCTATCTTTTATAACAGTTGATGCATACAACCTTTCCAAATGTACCGATATTCAAATCGGCAGAAAATATCAACAGTCAGCATGATGAATTAGGAGGATTTATAAATACAAAAAAGATCTGCATGAGTTTCATTTTGCCAGTCCATTGCTGATGATGTCATAAGATGGCAAACACCATCAGCATGGAAGGTGTGCATATAACATTTTGCAGTTATACCAGGCAGGAGTCGAAAAAGATATACCTAATACTTACAGGTGCTACACGAATGTTGCACTTCCCGTGTGTTGAAGAGCATGATTATTTCATAAGTAATGATGAAAATCTAACAGACGATGACTCGAGCCTTTGATCAGTCCAAAGAAGCATTCCTGTCTGCCAAACTTGAAGAAGAAAAATGAAGGACAATTTACATGTGTGCTTACCACTACCTGTTTGCACAAAAGCATGGTTATCAAAAAGCATGATTGTCTGTAAAAAATATATTTTGAGAAGCAAACAGTTATGAGCATTGATTTTATCAGAGTACAAACCAAACATCCCAAAGAGGAAGAAAAAAAAGGAGAAAGATGAAATCTTTACAAGCATGTCAACAATTAGTTGATTGGTTACATGCACTTGAACAAAGTTAATTAACACGCATGTAATCAGTTGTGAGATGAAAATGAAAAAAATATTAAATGTTTGTCCTAGATCGGAAAAAGAAATTTGGCTTGCTCTTTTCTACCTCAGTTGTGTGTGTGAAGTTAGATCAGATGGAGCCGCCAATATATCATGTTGTGGTCCCTATTTCGGGGGAATTGCATGTTAAAAGCATGATGAATCAAGAATTGAAAGAATTTGGCAAAGAACATCAATCCAGATCAAGAGATTTACTTTGTAAATTTCAGCATGCTTTGATTAAATTTCTGGCAGAGCCATTGACTTATCATGGTCACATGGTTCAGATGATGTTTAACAGATTTAACTGGCTTCATTTGCCTCTTTACATATTTTTATTGATGGTTCAATCAATATTTTCATTGGTCAACTGACTTATCAACCAGGATTTAAATGTTGAATACTGTCACAGGAATCTGGCACAGAAATCTGGCACAGAAATCTCGCATCAATTCAAAGAAAGCAGTTGTCACTGGTTACCAGTCTTGAGAAAATAAAAGATGGAGAAAAAAAAGTTGCATGATTATTTCATTGGTCTATAGCCATATTGAATTTGTAACGGAAGTCTTGATTGGTGAATACACTCTGTAAACCACAATCTGATTGGACACTTGTAGGTCTGTGTCTATGGAAAGACCACGCCTCCCAATGCCAAAACCGAGGACACTGGCCGTGCTGTCTTCTACGGAAGAGGAATCTGACCGGTAGGGGGACATTATACTCTCTGCATGTCTTATTGACCGTCCAGTGCTTGACCGGTCACTAAACAATCATGCGATACATTACATTAGACACTATATATATTGAGTAAATATCAATTAACTGTTTAGTATATTAAATTAATTATTTTGTGTGATGTTTGAAGTATGATAGAATTCATATTTTTCTCTTATTATTTTAGTATTATCATATATATTTCTTATTTATTAATTAATTAATTAATAAATTAGTCATTTGTATGTGTGAATTTCAAAACAGTTTTTGTTTACCAGTATAGTCTTGTTTAAAATATTCTACCATGTCAACAATGTTACAAGCTTTTTCATTGGTCAACAGTGATGAATTGTTGTCCTGAATGCGCTGCACCATTGCTTGCAAAATGCAATTCTGCTCTCAAACGTTCAGCCCTATTTCTAAATTACACCATCTTACTTAAGTAAGGCGAATATGGATTTGGTTACATTCGATGTGGTAGAATAGAGATAATCATCAGATGCTTGTGTTTATGTGGTGGAATTTATAACTGGAGATTTGAAAATGTGGGAAAAATGATTAACCCAGGCCAAAGTGGCCTTTGTTTATATCCCTCCAACATTTTCTAACCCACGTTATATTTTCCTCCGTGATAGACACACAAATGTTGATTGTTTTGAAAGTATTATTCTCTCTGAATCTCTCTAACACATTACTACTGTATGATTTCTTTCTATTTTCTGTTAAGTGTAACATTATCTAGTCTGCCTGTAATCCAATATAAACAGAAGACATACTTTTCCTGTGTATGCATCTTTTTCGAATATGTTTACTGAAAATCATCTACATTTTGTGACATTATTTGTTTTATTTTCAAATTTATATAAACATTCCACCATTCCACAATGCACAAGGGTAGCAGATTAGCATTTTCATTTTAGCCTTGTGGTTTATAAGTTCCTTTCTCGTTAATGTATATGAAGGAATGTTAAAAAAAAAGAATGTTCATTAAAATGATTGTTTGCATGAAAAAAAATGTTAACAAAAATGAGGTGATTTGCAGTAACTCTTCATATTCTTATAACGTATCCTTTGGAATCTGAGTGAGTAACCATGTTTTCCACAACATGGCGAAGTGATATCATTACGAAAGAATATAACTTTGACACTTAGGTATGACGATAAGCCGAAACATGAGCCTCAGCTTCCCGCGTCGCTGCAGACCAAGTATAAACAGTTCAGGTGCTTATAACCTTTCATGTGGAGTTATCTCCCTTTCCTTGTCGTTTTGATACAATTACGTTCCCTAAGGTCACTGTATTATGAAAATTTTAATGTTAATTCTACTTTTGGATTGAGATATTTTCTCTCTGTTTGTATAGAGGCATGACCATCTGCCCCTAAATTCCCAACTCACCTTCATCTAATTGTAAATGTAATCAGTACATTCCTTATATGAAAATATTAAAAGGAATTATTTTTACAGTTTCACATTTAAATCATTCCACCCCTTTATATCAATATTCCCCTGTGATCCCCATACAATCATGTCAAATCGGCAATAGATATAGATTTTTCTTTCTTGGCTAATTCTGGTGTGTGTATAGATATATAAAAGCATGTTGCAATGATAAACACAGCTTATGTCAGACTAACGATCATATTAAAAACTACTGAAATGTAATCATGAAAATTAGACATCAGAAAATGGTCAGAAAATTTCAAATTACTTCATGTGTTGTGTTTTCTTCAGAATTAGAATGTATTTTTTACATACAATGTTGTTTTTTATGCTGTAACGTGATACTGTTAACAAGTTAAATATTTCTATTGTGTGAGCTGTCAGTGAGTTCTCTACTTATTCACAGTATATCTCTACTGTATATATATCTCCGTTTTATATATATCTCTAGTGTAAATCTCTACTTTATCTCTTCTATGTCTCTACATCTCTTTCTCTCTGCTCTGACTATCAGACCTGTTAAGCCACCCCAGCAGCGCAAGAAGAAGAAGTCAAAGACACCGTCACCGCCAAAGGAGCAGGTACCAGCTCCCGCCATTGTGCCACAAGTGGCTCCAAAGCCGCAACAAGTGGCACCAGCACCAACGTTTGTACCGAAGGTGGTCGAAAAGCCGCCACAAGTAGCCATGTTTGAACCAAGGTGCGGGACATGTTTCTGCCTTGCTGTGTGAATTTTAGAACTGCTTTTATTTATCCCCAAATCCCCTTAACTTTCATAGATTGTTCATCTAAATTTGAATATAATAAGAAAAATATGAATACAATTATAGTATACAGTCCAAGGAAGAAAAAAGATCTCGTTCATCAGTTCTAAAATAACATAGTCTTCACGAAATTCGTAGCTGATTAATCAATTTCAAATCAATAAAACTTTCATAAATGTTTTGGTGGAAATTATTTAAAAGGTTCAGTTATGGTGCACTGTATATATTGGGAACGTTTTGAACAGATGCAGATGTGATGTTTTTCTCTATGGTAAAGTGTAAATATGTTTTAAAGGGAAATTATTCGAGCTTATGGATTGATAATCTTATCGCTGTACAAGTCTGTATAGGTTCATTTAGCATGTCTGTCACTTGGTTTGTGGGTAATTTCAGCACTTTCCCTCCTCATTCCAGAAAAAAATCCCATTATTGCCTACAATTTCTTCTAATTAAAACTTATGATTTAATTTAGAACATATTTATTTATTTTCTACTTCTCTATTTGAGTTATCTGCCCTTTATTTCGATGTTAACAAGTTTGTCATGTGGTTAGTATTGTACAGCATGGTAGGTCGTAGACTTGTGTAGATGTCGTACCGCTGGTCAGTGTAGATGTCGTACCGCTGGTCAGTGGTCAGATTAAATGTGGCTTTATTTCAGGACGTATGCCGGTCTGAATATCACACTGTATTCCAGAATGACAGAAGAAAGAAAAAAATAGCTAAAAAAATAGTTTGATTTTATTTCACATGCCAAAATGCTAAATAATTTCAAGAGATCATGATGATTAATTACTTTACAGGGCGAGTAGGGGGATAGGAGAATTTGTCTAACCTTTAAGGAGATCAAATTTAAGACTGGAAGTGTGATATTTGTACGTTTAAACCTTGTCACTAATACTTCAGAGCTAATCGGTGTTGTCTACTGATTTTGTTTGTGACAGAAAGGAGAAAGTGGCCCCTAAAGTGGCCCCTAAGCCTAAGGGGTGGTCACCCCCAACTGCGTCCCCTGTCGCATCACATATTAACATTCCGGTTTCTGGGACCCTGGCACCAGTGGAGTTTTATCTCCCAAAAGGACATGAAGCTTCATCGTCGTTAGAACTTACAAAGATGGTAGTTGTGAAAGCTGACTCCGAGATGGAGAAGTCAGAAGCCACCATTACAATCAAACAGGCTGTCTTACGCCAAGGTCATCCACCGGCACCAGCGGCCAAAATTGTCCACAGGGCTTCAGAGCCACCAAAGGACAAGTTAGTCATTGAAGTGAAAGAACAGCTTCATGAACCTGTTCCAGTTAAACAGCGGGAACCAGTTTGTGCTCCAATAGTCCCCAAGGCAACCACCGTGGTTACCAAGCACGAGGACAGGGAATACTGGTCCCCGGAGAGGAAGGATGTAATAAAAGTCAAGGAAACCATTGAAGCTACCTGGGATAGGTTAGATATATTTACCTCTGTGATTGAAGAGCTCTCTTGACTGCTGCTGTTGAATGTTGAGTTAACTCCCCTTTGTGAACAAATTACCTACTATAAATCCTATGCTTTATGCAATCCTCAAGAAAGCATGTGAGGCGGGAAATATCTCCCTTTGTAAGTGGGGTTAGAGTAACTTCCACCTATACTGAATGAATGTAGATTCACTGCTGGTTTCAAGAATACATTTCACCGGCCTTGTTGAAATAGGCAAACCCGATTTGAATTTCTTTGTGTGTGATGTCTTGCTGATGATTTACGAACATTCCTGTCAATTCTCGTCAATGCAGCCCAGTATGTCTGTCACCAGTCTGAGATCTTCTATCCATGCTGATGTTTACAAATATTACTGTCCTGTCTTTCCATATGTAGAAATATTGTCTTTTCACCTATCCAACCACAAAAGAATGTAGAACTTCACCTCCTGTAATTATCTTTTAGTAACTGTTAGAGTTATCTCCCTTCTTAGATTTCTTCCTCACTGCAAGTCTCCTTTCTTTGTCTAGTGAATGTACATTAGCAACAACGTCCGCATACCTCCACCTGGTCCTCTATCTGATGCTACGATACTGTAACATCCTATAGGACCATACAATACCTCAGCGTGTTCTGTAGGACCCAAACTGCCTGACCTACAAGTGTAGAGTATCCTCGACTTCCTGTTCTGTCGAATGTTGTGCTCCAAACAATTTGCTGCTTTTCTGTGTTCCATCAGTTTGTGTCGCGCAGTGAACATGCGTCGTGTTCATACGCTCTCCATGACCGCTTTGTTGTGTACAGCATGGACGACATCTGTGTTTATATAGACATACAGCAGCGTGCATGACTGCTTGTTTTGTTTACAGATGTTTACACATATTTATATTCATTATCAAGTGTTGTGTATGTAAATATTTCTGATTTAACAAGAATATTATTTACTGCCATTAAATGTTGTAAAAAAAGTTTTCTACAATTTCAGGTGTTTGTTGTTGCGTTGTTTAAATTACTTTCTTACCGATAAACATGCATGCTTAATATGTGAATTACAGATTATCAATTATCAAATTCAAATTCCAGATGTAAAACTAAGTGTCTCTTGTTTTTATTTTTGCTAAGAATAAGTCATTGACACGCTGTACTATGGTTCCGTCCACAGAGTGTTTGCTGCGGAGAATTTCTGCTACCGTGATTATTTGGGAGTAATCGGGGGAGCCCGCGATTTGTTAGCCCTTGTCAGGTCGGCTCTAACGCATGGAGTGATAAAAACTCCCAAATTTTCATCCAAATTTTCTCTCCTTTCTTTACCAATCAAAACTCTAGACATGCATCCATGCCTTGAAATTTATTGAGTATACTTTAAATTCTGGGAAAAAAGAACTCTTTTCTAGGTGAGCATGACATCTGTCAATGAGATGAAGCCTTACATTAAATGTTGTTCTATCTTTGTCTGAAATTCTTAAAGTTGTTATCCATTTTCTATTCTTCTCTTCCATTTCAAGCCTTTCAGTTGTAATAATTTTTCTATTTTCAATTAAACCCTGATCCTGATTTCCACGGTTATTTCCCATTTCTGGTTGCTGCTGACGACCACTTCAATTCCTGACTATGATCTTTTTCCAGAGTTATCACCCCTTATTAAGTCTTTGACAATGAAGCATTTCCAGTGTTTTCCCCTTGGTTCTCTTCTTGTTTACTGAAGATTTTATAAACATTATTTATAAAAACGATTATAAAATTAAGACTGTGAAGTTATTCCTTTTTTGGGGGGGATTAATTTTCATTTTATTTGTGGATATACAAATGTTCTTTGAAATAAAATGATCAACACAAAATTTAAACGATTCTTTGAAAGAAATATGTTCATATTCCTGAAATGATTCTTTGGGACAACCTTTCCATAAATTTCTCTGTACTTTTTAAGCTTTTGAAACGTTATAAAATTAAAGTACAACAAACATAAAAGATTTTAAAAGTGACTGGTTGTGATCAACACATACCGACTTTCAAAAAGTTTCTTTTGAAATGTAACTATTGCACTTTTGTTGTGGTTTGTTTTGCACCTTTAAATTTTAATTTATATTTTTCAGTTTAACATTTTTTTAATTTCTTAAAGTAAGTTTATTTTGTTCTAATTTACCAACATTAACACCCATTATCACAAAGGTGTGTCTGGATTTAAACGTTTCATATATTTACTATCGGCCTCAATATTTACAGAGCTGAGGATCACGAAAGCGCTGTACGCGAGTACATTCGCCGTGAAGGTGAAGCACCCGCCCAGGAGGACATTTACGACAAACACAAACCAAAGAAACCCTGGTTTAAGACACAGATCAGGAATTTGATGGGCCTGAAGGAGAATGACTCAGCCCACTTTGAGTGTAAGCTCCTCCCACTTGGCGATCCTACCATGGAGGTCGAGTGGTTTAAGGATGGACAACCTCTGCATCATGGTGAGTTGTAACAAGCCTGTTGATTGGTCAATCGTTCGTTGACTTTACTTGTTTCTTCTTCAAATTTTCAGCATTGTTGAAATATTATACCACAACGTAACTAACACATTTAACTTAAAATTTGTTATTCTCAAAGAGTGGAAAGACTAGTGCATTGATGATAATTATTTATGTCTCTTGGAAAGATCAGTTATAAAAAATATTTGAAATATTCTTAGCCGTAAAATCTATGTTATTTTATTACCAGGCCATCGCTTCAAGCCCATGCATGATTTCGGCTTTGTGTGTCTCGACATCTTGTACACGTACCCAGAAGATTCCGGAGAATACTCTTGTATTGCCCGCAACTCTCAAGGGGAGGCAACCACTACTTCACTTCTCAGGTGTAGAGGTAAGGACATCAATATCGTAAAAAGCCTTGTCGATTTAATTAAAACGTACAGATCTCATACAGATTTTAAGATCCGAAATGGTTAACATTTGAATAAAACCTGTCGGTAACAATTTGAAAAGCTCAAGGTTCATTGGGTGATGTTTTTAAGCTTCATTATGACACTGATATTGTTACTAGGACGCCGGTCCATCATCGTGGAAACACAACTTCCTGGTGAGGGTGCCATGCGTCTACAGGAGATGGAAGAATACTGGAGAAGGTAAATAACACAAATACATAACATTTCTTTTATGTCCGGAATATTTTACTAGATGCAAAAAATCAGACTTTATCATTATGTAAAAAGATGATATCTTATATACCATGAGATAGATCCATTTACGTTAATTCGCAAGGATAATCTAGTTATGATTCTATCCAAAATTGAAATATCTCATTTGAATATGTCTGAATGTCCATTGAATAACATTGATGAACAGTTTCTTGATCCAAATTTTAAGAATTATAATTTAACGTCACCTATTTGTTACGATATTCATTAGCACTGTAATGCTATGTTTCCGTCTGTTCATATTACAATTGTAAGTTCTTTTAAATGGGAATTGGGACAATACCCTCTTTTACATTAACTTGTGGTTAAAACCTCATGTCCACCTCACTAATTGTCAGTAATTTGTTCTCAGTAACATGTACCTAGAGGAGAGGAGTATTGATGAACCACGGGAACGATTCCCACCGTCCATCGACCTCAAACCCGAACCGGTGGAAACTGGCGAAGGAGAGGTCGCCAAGTTTATGATCAAAGTCAGTGGCTACCCACGACCCCGGGTCAACTGGTGGGTCAACGGCACTGTTATCATGGGCGTAAGTATATTGTGTAACTCGCTACGTCTTTCAAGGTCAATCTGACTAGTCACAATATAAAATTATTATTTAAAAATGAGTTTCTTTTGTTTGTCTACAATTTTAAATATCTTTCGTGAAATTGTAATAGTTTTGAATGGAATGTACTATATAGCCCTTGTATTTTGCAGAGATTTTATTTTCATGGCCTGAACAAATGTATAAAATATGACCCCCACCCCCCAATAATTTGTTGCCTTTCTCACAGACGACTTTTGGTTGATAATGGTGTTAATTGACATTTTACCCCATGAATTTGTTTCAGGGGCAATACTGCAAAAAGTTCATCTCTATATCTTACAGCATTTATACTTTCTGACAAAAAAAATTCTGATCTGACAATATGATTTCTAGACCTACTTTATACCAAAAAGAAAGAAGGCTCCTTATATATATATATATATACAGTATAAGTATGAAATCAAGAAGTTGTCAAGGCTGTCAATGTTAACGATATCTGATTAGTGATGATTCCACTCTACATTACATATCTGGGTTTCAGAGCACACGGTTCAAGCTGCGTTACGATGGCATGATTCACCATCTCGAGATTCCGCGTGTGCGAGAATACGACGCCGGACAAATCCGTGTGGTGGCCAAGAATACAGAGGGTGAAGCTGAGGCCAGTACCACCTTACATGTAGTACCGAAAGAGGACTGGAGGTCACGTCTACGACAAGCACCCAAAGGTAGGTCACTCTTAAGTCACACTGCGACAAGCAATCAAAACTTCCCATTTCTGTTTCTATGAAGCTTAACTCATTAACTCCTGAAGACACATTTGAACTCTTCCAATTCAAAGTTTGGAATAGTCGATCAAGAAATTTCAGGGGTGAACGAGTTAATGTGTTCCCTTGCTTAGATAAATGCTGGAGTCATGTCTGGAGATTGCTGCCTCTGTGTTTTCGTGAGGAGGTAAAATTAGCTTGCAGCTGAGCTCCTTTCCCTTTTTTATATTTGATCAACATGACTTTCGTTACAGCTGGTCTCCTGAGATTTATATGTATTCCCTATATATACACGTGCTTTACTTGTATATAACAATATGTCTGCTTCACTAGATAAATATTACTCTTAGCTTTCTATGTTTATTAAGTGTATATTTGATGTATTTTTGTATCTGTTTATCGTAGATCGCCAATATTGAACAAATCAGCGAATGATTCACTCACCAAAATGTTTGGAGAACTATTTCCTGTCAAATTCCAAAGATTTTTTTTCAATATTTTTGGAAATTCATATTTTAAATGGCAAATTGGTTTTGAATTAAAGGTTTCACTAGGTTCAAGGTCTTACAAAGGTCAAGGTCTCACAAAGGTCATGGTCTTTCAAAGACTTTATACATATTCATGAAACAAAGGCGATCTACAGTGTGTTACTATCTGTTGATTTAACATGTCCCAAAACATATACCCTTCCCAGTGTTCATGTTCAAAGTTTGGCTAGAGTGTTAAAACAAGCTTAAACTTTACAGAGATGGAACTGGAGGAAGAAAGTGTTGGTAAGTTACTTGGTGACATGCTACCTAAAACCAAGTCCAATAACTCTTACTACCCCTGCACATGTCGACGATGCCATCAGTTGAATTGTCGTTCCACACTATTATCCGTCATATTCATTTCATTTTTAAAACCTGGAGATATTTTTTTAATTCATAAAACTTTACTTCATTTCATCATGTGTTTTACTACTATCAGTTTACAAAATTAAATTTCAATAAACAATTTATGAAATATTGCTCAATTAGAATGTTTATTAATATTGATGTCAGTCTAAAAGCTATAACAATTGGCTTAAATTAGAAATAGATCTTACTCATTTGATTACTAAACTGAATTTATATAATTTAAAATTCTAAAAAAAATGTTTTATTAAAAATAGAGTTAACACTTAATGCCAAGTAACATAACCAAAATCTTCATTAGATATTTTAAAAAATGGTAGTATCTTAATTACACTAAAATAATAAGATGCACGAATCTGCTGTAATTTATCCGGCAATAAGTCTATGCCTGGTAATAAGCCCAGCCATGTCTATTGAATTTCAATGGAAATGCCAACATTGCTATTCCATTGCCTTTCATTAATTAGCCCGCCCCTCTAATTTCAGTCTGTGATCATTTGTTGGCCTCCTATAGCCTAATTGCTGGATGAATACAGTTATGTGATCTTGATTTGATTGATTTTTTCATTAATAGTAGGAATTATGCAAAAATATTTTTACATGTTTTTTTTAATGACCAAATTTTATGGCGCATAAGATAAAATTTTATGCATGTCTTATAAAAATGATAAAAAAATACCACAATTTTTTTTAAATTTTTTAAATTTTTTTAATTACAGTAACTTTAGAATCAATCATCAAGGATTATATTTTCTCTCATACAACATTTGTTCTATCATAATCTGAATTCTTCCTTCCATCTGCATTGCCTATCATGTGAAAGAATATATATTTCCGGGAAATATTCCAGGAAATTCTTAATTATTGAGTTAATTTCTACCACCCTACAATGCCCTTCTCACTGACCTTGAAATGAAGTTGAAGGTCAATTAACCCTCGTGAACCATGTTGAGATGAACTTGAAAGCCATCTTTTCCAAATTTCTATTTATCATGACATTGTGTTGTAAGTTTGAAAAGTGAACTTACCTTCCTCAAAATGCTGAAAGTCACATAAACTTTCAAAATCTTTAGGAAGTTTACCTTACCATTGGAGTTTTACATCGTTCACCTGTACATTTGCTTTGTTCTCCCCAGACTATATATCCTCATTTGTTCCTATCAATTCAATGGACTTATTACTATTTAAATCCTGATCTATTTTGCATTGAAATTTTGTTCTTGTATACCAACTTTTTATTGGTTTAAATGAATAATAAAATGGAATGAAAGGTGTCTGACCCTTTGACCCCTATTAAAGGCCTATTGGTAATTTACAGAATATAAGGAGGCGGTTGTTAAGATTTATACAGGTAAGATAACTGGTCGATACTGATGTGCCCCTCCCTACCTTAATTTATAAAATGAAGAACGGTATAAGTGGAGTGTACCTCCTTACCACATAAAGATGAAGAAATGGCCTTTGGTGGTAGCCATTCCTTACCTCATTAAAACAAATTGTGTTTGGTGGTGTGCTTTTCCTTTCCTCATCAAAGATAGCTGTTATTATTTGCTGAAATTCTCTCAGAAATCGGAGCTGTCCTATTTTATCACAGTCTGGCGTCAGGCTGGTCATACGACTGTTCTGATTCAACTTATTTATCTTTGATTCATTTTCTGATTTGAGAAATATTTATCTTTACAATCTTTCCCTCTCTGTGTGTTTTTTCTTGGTGTAAAATATTTGTGTGTTTTGTTTCCATCTCCAACTGTTGCCCTTACAAAGCCTCTAAACAAGCAAGTTTATTTTTATCAAGACTTCGCTGAAATTTACATTCCTCCTGTGACCTTTCCAGTAGACTTTGAAGGTCATACTTCCGAGTCTAACAGTAAACCATCTATGACCTTTCCTGCTGAGACTGATTTTGAAGGTCACATATCACTGGAGAGTCCTCAAAGTCCCTCTTGTCCAATCTTTGCTGTGTTTTATTTGGGTTGAAAATGAACCCGGACATCAATTTTGTCATCATCGTCAATAAATGAGAAAATTGAAATTCATCTATAGTCACTCCGAACTCTGTTCTAATGTCCGCCTTTTTCGACTTTATCGTAATCTTAGCTTTCATTTATATCATATTTAACATAACTTCATACAAAGTTTCTTTTTCAGTCTCATACATAAAGTAGTGTTATTGACACTCTTTAATACTGTAAAAATGTACTTATTAAAGACATTAATTTCATCTTCACATTTTGATTTCTTAAAAATGTTATTGATCTTAATGTATCGTCGATTATTTCGTATTTCTGTGAAGGTGGAGGTATTAAACTTTTAGTGTGATATCTGTAGTTAATGTTACTATAGTCATTCCAGCTAATATTATCAGGACACACTGCGGAATTTATCATAACAAATTCAACAATTATCAACAAATTAATACAAAAATTTAAAATTAACTCATTGTAAATATGTAAAAATATTTTTGAAAATATTTTTATGAAAAATTATGAAAATTAAAGAGATATTTTAACATTACACAGTGTGTCCTGATCATAGTTACATTTTAGAGTGTTTTCACGTGTGGTTTTATGGGAGCAGGCTACTTAACACTTAACGTAAGGGAGGTAACTGGGCTCTTGTCACGCTTTTTCTAATCTTTGCAAATCCTGTTTCTTCCCAATTTCACAGGAGATCTAGAAATTGAACTTGAGCGCAGACGCAAAATTGAAATGCGCTCAGTTGAGCTCGTTACAGCCATGCAGAAACCCAAACCTACCAGTGTCGAATTTAAGCAGATCGAGAGAGGTGAGATTATCGGATGGATGACATGCATGCTGGTTTCCCCCGACAAGGACTTGTTTCACTTTTGTGGACCATTTCATTTGATTTTAAATCAGTACTAGTCTTTCTCTGTACAAGATATCCTTGTTGCAGCCAAAATTCGTTGAAGAGAGTTTGAAAGTGACCGTACTTTCCAAGTCTTCCTATTTGGAGGGAGACTCACTTTTTTCAGCCCCTTTTTATACTTTTAGCAAAAACTATTAACATCTTGATAAAAATCTGATTTCAATTAACTCATTTGTGGCATTTGTCAAATATTATGTTAAAAAAAGGAAATTGCAAGTTCCTGGTAAACATTGTTACATTGGGTTTTGCTTAACGTTTCTTTCCCACAAAAAAAAGAGTTGAAAATTGGCAAATAAATGAATACCCTGTGTGGGGCCCCATTTCAAACCTGTAGTCTAGCATCATTTACATCATAGTATATCTCACCAGAATTAAATTTTAGGAATATCCTTTTTGGAGCCCCATAAAATGTTTGCAGTAGAGTGTGCATTTTATTAGATACAGAAGAAATATGTACTAGACTGCTTCCTCATAGAATTGCTTAACAATTACTTTTAATCTCTGACAATGCTTTTAGAAAATTATTTTAACCTTTATGATTTCTTATAATCTTGACCTGAATCATTTACATATGACCTTCATTGACATTGAACTTTTGACCTTACAGCTGCTGAAAAGCGGGTAGTGATGAGACATGAGAAGGAAGTGATGAATGCGGAACAGCTGTACATGTCTGTTGCGTCAAAGCCAACGATGCGCGAACTGCCTGCACGTATGGTCAGGGCTGACCGTCCAGAAATTCAAGTGGACATCCAGAAGGCACGCATGGTGCCAGTTATCCCTGAACAGGGTGCACCTGATGAGAGCAAAATATCTGAGACCCAGATTGTTCTGGAGCGACGTGAACCACCCGTGTTCACCAAGCCTCTGCGCCCAGTCAGGGTCACCGAGGGCAACCCAGTAACGTAAGTATATCATCAGGTTTTGTTTCCACATTTTTCCTTCAGCTTTCAAAGAAAATATTTTTTTTTGTAACAAATTGGTGTGAACAACTTCAGTTTGCACAATACGTTCAAAGTTCCACTGCAAGTCATTATTTGTGGAATGAGCTATGTGCCCTTGGAAGTGTGATGTGGCTATGAGTTGTTACCCCTCTTTGTTACAGACTTGAGATACATTTCAAGGGCTTCCCACCACCAATCATTTCCTGGTACAGAGACAGCTTTGAGATCAAAACATCACATGACTTCCAGGTAGGTTCGCAGTAAATGACACATGATTTCCAATTAGGTTCGCAGTAAATGTCACTTTACCACCAGATACCACTTTACCACCAGATGTCGCTTAACCTCTAGGTAGTTCTGCAGTGACTATTTCATGATTTTAACTTTTAAATCCACAGTGAATATTACATATGATAACATTAAATGATAATACATGTAGTCCAATTCACTTTTCTACCAACTTTTCAGACAAATTCCAAATTCACAGATTGTGAAAAATCATAATAAGATGAATGCCAAAGTACGTCTGCACTTATTGTTCTATGAAAAATTATTTCTCAGATAAAAAATATGAAACTAAGTGACCATTTCCTAAATCTTTCACTTTTGACCTCAGATTACTGTCTCGGAGACGGTAAGCACACTGTTCATCCCAGAGATTTTCCCAGAAGACACTGGCATGTACATGGTCAAGGCTTACAACATGTATGGCACCGTCCAGTGCAAGGCCAAGATGACCGTCATTGGTGAGTGAATCACAGCCTCAGTATACACCTTGTCCATCTGTCATAGTGATTTGTAAATTAAGTAGTTCCTTTACTGTTGCTTAGAAGCCCAATTTCATGCAATTGCTAAGTTTCTCAGAGATGAAAATGTTTAACATTTCGACCGATTTCAGTCTTTTTCAGAATTTTAGTTTAATGTAAAGTTCAAATTTTTCCCATAGAAAGGATATGAAAAATCTTGTTTTCAGCCATTTTTGCCCTTAAGCTCATTTTCATCTCTGGTTACTATACACTTTATAAATGTTACACATAAATTTGAAAGAAGAACAATTGATAACAGAATTAAAAAAATATAGAAGTTTTTTTCTCCTTTATAAAAAAACCCCATTTAGTCAAAGGAAAAACCATATAAAAGATTCTTAAATATGAAGGGTAGAAATTGTTTTTGAAGAAATTTTTCATTGTCAATAACGATCTGAATTACAGAGGAGGAATCACCAGAGCGTGACGTACCCCCAGAATTCCGTAGCCTGATTCGCGACAGCAACGTGGTCCAGGGTGAACCTGCCACTTTTGACTGCCAGGTGTCGGGACGTCCCAAACCCAAAATCCACTGGCAGAAGGTACACACTCTCATATTGTCGTAAATCTCCCACAGTTCATAGAAACAGAGATTGTCCTCACAGAAGTTTACGATTAAATTCATGTTTTCTTTTCCAAAAATAAATGTGAAATTTTTAAAGATAAATATGTGATGTAAGTTTTATTCTTTAAGCAAACTTCATTTAATGGTCTATAACAACAGAAAAAGTAAACATTATCATCAGTCTTTTTCAATACGACTTGGGCAAATTCCATTCACGATTAAAATCTTAAAGGTTTATAAATTGGAGAGTGTTTACAGTAATGCCATCATTTTTCCAACAATAGTTTGAAATAATTTGATGATATGTTGGGGAAATTCTTAAAAAGGAGTTCTTGAGAAAAAAAGGGAAGGAGAACCTTAAAATATAAAGGCGGGATGTGAGGTGGCAAATGGAATGAGATGCATTGTACAGAGTATCTCGCGCTTTGTCTCTAATAGGATGGCAGGACTCTCACCGAGAGCCCACGATGGAAGTTTATCGAGGAGGACAATAACTTCACTATGGTTGTCTATGAGGTCGTTCCGGAGGATGTCGGCCAGTACGATTGTGTGGCCATCAACACCGTCGGCAAGGCAACATGCACAGCCAGACTTAACGTGGAAGGTAAGGATGATTAATCTGGAACAAGAGGTCTCAGAGCAATGTCAACGACTCAGTAATTACAATTTCCTTCTACTAATGGATTTGATTGTAAGGGCTCGGAGAAATTCACTCGACGTAATATTTTGTTTGTTTGTAGATTTGATTTTGCAGGAAAATTCTGGGTTGCAATTTTTCTTTTGGAACTGAAATGTAATTTCTCCTCCAGCAGACGGGCCTCTTCCGTGTCTGTAACGGAAATAGGACAAAAATCAGTTTTAGTTTGAGTCTGTATTAGGAAAGCATATATGGTGTTGAACTACCTGTTAATGTTCAGTGATAAATGGATGAGTTGTCTCCCCGCAGTTCCCATCAAGCCACCAGAGACGGAGGAGCAGAAATTGGCCGAGGCTCCAGTGGAACCACCCAAGGTGACCGAGGCGCCGCAGAACCTGGAGGTGGACGAGGGTGAACCAGTCACCTTCACCTCAAGGATCACGGGGTCTCCACGTAGGTTACGGTTTAGGAAAATGTTACATGTTACATCAACAATACTGTACCATTTCTCACCTATTCCGTCTTTTCGTATTGCAGAGTTATCTGCTCTTGTGAGCAGGTATTGATTGTTACATCATTTGTTTGCGAGAGTAACGTCATAAATTTTTGAGAAAACGACGTATTTTCCCACACAAACCAATGACGTAACAATCAATAACTGCTCACAAGAGAAGATAACTCTGCAGTATGCAAAGACGGAATAGCAAGTTATACCAATTGTGTTCTGTTTTATAGACAAACATATATAGTAATTATTTTCTTCTTTGACGTTTTAAAATATCTGGTTGAAAGCCTTATCAAAAGATTCAAAATTTTTCATATATATTTCTTCATATGACCCTCTGTTTAGAAATTTTTTGGATACTATTATAACATAATTTTACAAGATGAAGTCATTTTTTCTCCAAATCAATTAAGATTGTATCCGATAACAGATTTTTGCTGGTAACTGTGTGTATTTCTTTGTTAGTTTAAAGTTTCTTGTGATTAAAAATAACTAATGTTTTTTATTGCAGCACCGAACGTGACGTGGTACAGGAACAACGTCATCATCAAACCATCAAAATATTTCCGCATGGAATCTTCCCCGGATGGCACTCACAGCCTCAGTATTCTTGAGGCCTTCCCAGAAGACACCGGTAACTACCGCTGTGTGGCTCGTAACAAGGCCGGGGAGGTCACTTGTTTCGCGACTCTGAAGGTCCATGCCTTAGAGAGTGAAGCTGAGGCTCCAGCCCCTGCCCAGAGGGACACACCACCAAGCTTCACCAAGCCGATTTCTAACACACTCGTTGTGGAAGGAAGTCCAGCCACATTTGAGGCCGAATACAGCGGCACACCTGAACCGACCATCACCTGGCTAAGAAACAGCCTGCAGGTCCTGCAAGACTCGACCAACTACAAGGTTAGTTTGTGTTAGGGTTGATAAACATCAATGTACCTCCTTACATGTCGTGAACTGTTACGTGTGTTACTCATAAATCTTTAGTAAGAGTTTCTCTATCAATAGAATTACAATGGTGCTTCACTAATTCAGCAGACGTTTTTTATTAGAAAAAGCTGGGTTGTGAAAATGCTTTTCAGATAGCTACTTTGACAGTTTTGTATAGAAAAAGGCCAATCTCTTCTGAAAAACACTGAGAAAGTGGGACAACTGGATAAATCATGGCTGAATAAAGGAGGGTTGGCTTTATTAGATCATAGGAACATCACCATTTCAAACAAAAATGTCTTATAATTTGCAAGTTCAATTTATATTTTTACTTTTTTGTTAACTAACTTTATTTGAATTATTTTGCAGATTGAGCGTACAACCACCAAGACAATTCTGACCATTCGCGAGGCTCGCCCCGAAGACAGCGGTCTTATCACCTGTCGCATCAAGAACGTTGCTGGCATCACCGAGTGCTCCGCAGAACTCTATGTCCAAGGTAAGTCATCTACCTGAACAGTGGCCAATCAGAAGCCTTGACATTTCCAATGACTTGCAGTTCTTAGCCAATAATAGACGACATGACATCAACAAGAAACTCCCGGCATGAGTTGACATTTCTTGAGATTTAACATTCATTCTGCATGACTGGTTAACCAATGATGTTCAACTGCATGAATGATTTTTTTCTGTACCTCACTGACCAGGGGTCAAAAGTCTTTTTATCCCTGTTGGTCATTTAAGAATTTAGATGCAAGATTCTTTTTTCTGGTCAAAAGACTATGAATAGCATTAAGAACATCAAAATAATATTCATGTACCGATACTAGATAAATTTGCTTTCAACGAAATGCTGAAAAAATAAACATTTTGTGTATTGATTGATTGTAAATGAAACTATCAATATGTAGTTTTAAGGAATTCCAAGAAAGTTCTCTGATACATTTCAAATTAATCAGAATGCATTTAGAGTGTGCTGTTTGCATGACTATGTTCTTGACAAGTGTTTTTCAGTGATGACGGTTCCAGAGGCATGTAAAGAATGGCTGGCATGGATTGGACACATCCGACGACCATCAAACTCCTGTTTAATTTTTTTTAGTATTTAGTTAGACTTTGTTAGAGACATGCATGGCTGTGTGTTAAATAGAAAATATTGAAATCTTAAAGTTCATATTCTAGCTCACCTAGCTGTATGAATGTGTACTTAAGATCTGTGTATGATTGTTGTTCTTTGCATTTCAGCTAATACCGTAAATCTTTACTTTATTAACAATAATATACTCTATGAGAAGAAATTTTGGGGAAGAGTTGTATTATTACTGGGATTTGAAATTGAAATTAAAAGGAATTTAAAGAAGTTTTATATGTGTAACAGATTTACGGTAACTTCCATGCATGGATTTGTGATTTGTGGTTATTTTTCACCCTTATAAATATCTAAAACAATTTGTTTTAAACACAAATCACAAATGCATCCTGCATTACTAAAATAATGTTCAAGATATAATTAGTATAGTAAACTTACTCACGGCATGAACATCCCTCTTTTCCAACAAATGTGATCTGACATTGTCGTGTTGACGCGTGCATAAGAAGAAAGGGTTGCGCCATGCGTGATCACATGTGATTTTGAATCAATGCCTTTAACAATTTCAAAATCACATGTAAAATACCAACTTAATCTTTGGTCGTTTTATTCAGATGTTTATTTCAGTGCCCATGATTGAGATACATTGTATATAGCCTGATCAATTTGTATAAAACTAACAAACCTAGCTTTGACTTAAGCTTAGTTTCTGACCAGGAGTTATCTACCCCTGATTCTAAGTTTGCATGGTGTGAATTTGGAGTTATGTCCCCTGGAACAAAGCATGTTATCTGACGACCAGTTGAAGAACGAATTGTGCATGGACAACAACACTGCATGAAGCAGACCTAAGTGTCAGGCAAGCAAAGACCGTTTTATATACCTTCAACAGAAACTGTTCAATTTAAAAAAATATCCTGTTGAAATACTCACGAACCCTACATATTCATGAGTAAACACACATATTCAGCAAAAGAAAGTTTCAAATATTAATGAAAATAAAGTCAGATTTCATTTGTGCAATTTCTCATGGATTTCCGAGAGTCAAACTTAGGTTTTTTTGGATCTTGAATAGTTGCAGATCAGGTAGAATTTGAGTGAAGTCTGACTTTTGTCATATTTCCGTTACAGACACGGAAGAGGCCCGTCTGCTGGAGGAGAAGTACATAACAACAATCAAGACAACACCACCTGAGTTTGTCAAGGCTCTGTCTCCTGTACAGGATGTACAGCCAGGAGGCACAGCTAGGTATGACACCACAGACACATGGTATCAAATAGCAACCTCATCAGCACCACCTCATCAGCGCCACCTCAATTCCAGAATATTGCACCATGTTTTAGACATCACAACACCACATGTCAAACACCAGCTCACACACCAGGACATAGCACCATGTTTCAGACAACTCTACACCACATGTCAAACACCACCTCGGACTCCAGGACATAGCACCATGTTTCAGAAATCACAACACCACATGTCAAACACAGCCTCTCCTTTCACAAAATGTTCTTTATTCACACTGCCTTTAGAAACGACAACATTATTTTTTTTTATCTTTTTTAACACTGAGGTTGTATGCACTTGTCAATGAGTAGGCGCTTGCTATATACTAATGTGATGTTTTACACACTTGCAGATTATACGCGTCTATCAATGCGTACCCACCACCTAAGTGTCAGTGGTACACCAAGGGTGTCCAGATCGTGCCAAGCGAACGCCGACAGGTGGTACAGGAGGACAACTCCATCATCCTCATCATCATCAACGTCCAAGAGGAGGACTCCGGTGACTACATTCTCAAGGTCGAGAATGAGATGGGAGAGGTCACCTGTAGGACAACATTGACTGTCAGAGGTTAGAACTATACTACAGGATGTTATAAAAGCTAAAATGTTTAACAAGATGCTAGTGTATACTTGGAAATTTTCGCGGCAATTTAATTTTCGCCTTTTTTGCCCTTCGCAATCGGGGCAAATTTATTATAACGGACAATTTAAGTAAACAGCATACCATAGTTATTACATTTTAAGGGCAAAATTACCACTGGGCGAACATGGTTTTTACCAGTTAAGGGCAAATATTTGACTGGGCGAAAGTTTTCCTCAAACCCCAATCTACAAATTTACCTGTACCCTGTACACTGACTGTGACACTTTTGTGATGTGTATTGATCCTCTATGGTCCATCCAATCCAGGTAAAACCCAGTACGTAGCCATGCCCCCTACGGACACTGAGACACTGACTATCAGAGAAACCACCACCATGGTCACTCGTGAAGAGCGCTTCGTCACCGAGATGATCAAGCCAGAGCTCATCGAACCACTGGAGCCAGAAATCTACGTCAGAGAACGAGGAATAGCTAGGTAGGGACATTTTATCATATAGTTATACTGTAAAACCTCGATATAATACACCTCATCTGATTTGCCACCTCGCTTACTGCCAACAAATATCAAGGTCCAATTTTTTCTTGTCTGAAGAATTTTATTTGTAGTTGTTTCCCTCGTTTTATCGCCAAACCTGTTTATAACTCCAAATTTTTCTGGACAAATGAGGGTTATGTAACAGAAACTTTGTTATACCTAACAGAGATATTATGTCTGAACAAAATCTTCTGTACAGAATGATTTCTTTCCATTTTCAATGTGAAATGATACAATGTCATCGCTTAAGTGGAAAATGTAATTCAAATTAAAAAAATCCATCATCATAATATTCAACATGCAGAATTACAGATTTTAAAAAAATAAATAAATATATATTTACATTATTTAATATGTGTAATTATGTTTTGTTAGGCTGCAATGTAAAGTGGACAGCTACCCTCCGCCCCTTGTCACCTGGTTTGTGAATGGAATGGAGATCCGTCCATCACCCCACTATGAGATGATGACGGAGGAAGGAAACAGCATCCTCCTCATCATAGAAGTCGGCCCGGAGGACACCGGCGAGTACACCTGCCGCGCCGTCTCCGAGCTCGGCGAGGTCATGTCCAGCACGACACTCTATGTTCAAGGTCAGTTGTGAAAACGAAAACCGTTTCCTTTTTTTTTTGATAATACAAATCACCATGTAACTATAGTAATATGCCTTACCAGGCCCTGTATTGTTACTGGACATAAAAACTTTTCTTCAGTTGATACACTTTTTTGTCAATAGATTTTGTTTGTTTTTATTTTGACGGGAAGGAATGCTTGAGGATACCTAATCTGTAAGTCTTAAGAAGTTTTTTTTTTTTTTATTCAAAACTGGAAGTTTCTTAAAAAAAATGTTTGTTAAATCATTGTTTTATGGACCCAAGGATCGAAAATCTTTTACACTTCAGAACCAGTGACAAAAGAAATGCCAGCCGTGCCGAAAAGACCAGAAGAAACAGTCTCCTTGGAGCCTTCCCCCTCTGAGGAGTTGATGCCTCCACGATTCGCCGAGGTGCTGCCTTCTATGGAAACATACGACGGAGAAGAAGTGAATATTCCATGCAAGGTGGTGGGGAAACCCCCTCCCCAGATTTCTTTCTTCCACAACGGAAAGAACATTGACCATGACGAGGAGTATGTGGTGTCGTACAACCCGGATACCGGGGACATCCATCTCCTCATTGTGGAGGTGTTCCCTGAGGACGAGGGAGAGTATGTGTGCGTGGCCTCCAACCCTGCGGGGGAGGCGAGCACTCGCGCCTACCTCACGGTTCTCACACCCGAAGACTCCGTCGACGCTGCAGCACCGATGGAAGTCGAGGTCGTAGCACAGGTGAGTGTCAATGTTAAGGTTAGTTACCACAGATCAATGTCAAGGTCAGTAATATCAGTTCAAAGTCATCCCAAGAACTTAATAGGAAAAGACAACCAGTTCCTTGTAAAGTATACAGGTAGATACTGTTAAGCTGATTGGTATAATCCTTCATTAAAGTGTTGTAAGTGTTTAGAATTTGATTCTAAAAGCATTTTAATTGTATTCATTTTTTATTGCAGCTTATTGACCGACCCAAACTGGAACCTCTTGAGAAAGAGGAACCACCGGCATCACCACCACGTGAGAAACCAGTCAAAATGGAGGTTACAGAGGTGAAAAGGCCTGAAGAACCTATGGAGGAAGTGGAAGAGGAGGTTACGGAACAAATGGCAAAACCCCAGAAAATTGAGCGCGAGAAGAAGATTCCCTTGGAACCGGAGCGAGCCCCCGAGTCACCTGAAAGAACTGTTAAAGTCACTGTGGAACGTAAACCTGTTCCCAAGCCGGAGGAAAAACATACAGAGGTCTGTGAGGCTACTTTAATGCCTCAGACCATCACCAGGAAGTTCCAGCTACCAGATGTGAAACCAGTGGAGGAACATGTGGATAAGGAGGACTCAGTGGTCGGGGAGGAGAAACCCCCACAGAAGGAGGAAGTTGTCAGTCAGTTCACGCTGGAGGAGGCACAGGAAGTTACGGAGATTCCACCCGAGTTTGTGGAACTCTTACAGCCTCAGATGATCCCCGACGGGGAGGAGATCACGATGACTTGTCGTGTGGAAGGCACACCATTCCCGACAGTCACGTGGTACCGTGAGCGACAGGAGATAACGCCCAGCACCGACTTTAAGATCACAACTGACCAGACCACAGGAGTGTGTACACTGTACATACCAGAGGTATTCCCAGAGGATGCCGGCGAGTACGCATGTAGAGCTATCAACCCCTTCGGAGAGGCTGTTACCACGGCAACACTTCTGGTTCACAGTAAGTCGGCCATTTTAACACCAATTTACAGACCTCTTTCTGTGTTCTTATGCATTCATTCTGCACATTTTCTTTGGAAGGAAATCTTGATCATGATTGTCATCACAAAAATGGATTCTGTTGTTGTAGATCTTTTCAGAACATTTAAACAGAACTTATATTAATAGTACAGTATAGAAGTGATTGCTCAATATGAGATTTCACACTTTGATAACTTCATAACTGAACTTAGTCAACAGTTACTAAGGTTGTTGGCAGCTGAGTGATTAATTTCAGCAGATTTGATTTTTTCGAAGACTTGTAAAAATATGCAAATATATACCGGGTTGAATTCATGATTCTGGTGTCATATCTCATGCCAGCCTTCTTAAGCATTTTGCTGCGGTGCTGAATTCTCAAAAACTACACTGTAGTGAAAATTACCCTGTTAAAGATTGATTTAGTTCAGTAGATAATGGATAATGGAGCTGATCAAATGTCATTCTACTTCAGCCTTGCCAGAAGAAGAAGAGCCTGAAGATGTTACAGTCATTGAGGAGAAATATGTGACAAAGATTGAAAAATCACCGGAGTTTGTGCGTCCCCTTAATCCAGTCCTGAATATAGAGGAAGATCAAACTGCACGGTATGTAAAAAAAGGTTGACGTAAGACTGAGTGTTTAGTGAAGTAAGACTTAATGATGTTAGACTTAGGAAAGTAAGATTTAGTGAAGTAAGACGTAATGATGTAATACTTAGGAAAGTAAGACTTAGTGATGTAAGACTTAGTGATGTAAGACTTAGTTATGTAAGACTTAACAAAGTAAGATTGAGTTAAGTAAGACTTAAGACTGAGCAATATAATACTAAAACTTTTGAAAAAATAACTTTTTTAAAAACAGTTGCATTTTTATACTGGGTTTAGACAAATTTGTCAAGAGAAAGTTTTTGGACTGTTTTGAGCATGAAGTCCCTGCCAAATTTCTTGGTGCTTATTGGAATGAATTGTATTTCAGACTTGAAGTTGAGGTCGTTGGTGAACCAAGACCAAAGGTCACATGGTACGTGAACGAGATTCGTCTGATGCCAACACCACGTGTCCAGATTATTGACGAACGTACAACCTGTACATTGGTCATCACAAAGGTCGTACCCTCCGATTCCCAGGACTACATCTGTGTGGCCGAAAATGACCGCGGCGTGGTCACTTGTAAGACTACTCTACATGTAACACGTAAGTTTCATACTGGACACTGTCCACTCTGTGTGTTAGATATAATCCTGGCAAGTCCTGCCAGCTTTAAAAATGTTACGGGAGGGGAGTCAAAGTCGGTCTTATTTTCAAGGTATCTTTTCTTTTGTGTTTGTGTAAAAAGAAAAAGTTCAATCGCTCTTACTGGTAACATAAAAAATTACCGGGTAATAGAAATAATCTCAGTCTTAGTGGCTTCTTCAGTCAAACAAGAAAACCATTGAAGTAATCTTTTTAATTTATTTGTAATTTTGATGAAAAATTGATATTTGGTTTGTATTTTTATACTCTATTTCAGTTTTCAAAAAAAAATAGGAAATAATTATGAATAATTTTGTGTTTAAGAAAGGGATTCTAGTTTATTATCAATCTGAACAATCTAATGATTAAAGATTTACTGTCATATTTTGAATTGTATACAAACTCGACCTCCATTCACAAAGTGGAATCAACCTTCACTGATTTTTGGGTCTGACCACGTTTGTGTATAGGGGTTGGAGGTAGTGCGACATGGAATGTTTTGTGTATGTGTCTATTGTTGTCTGGTGTATTGACATGTATGTGTGTAACTATATATGTGTACACATATTTCCGTCTGTGAATACACATTTGTCCGTCTGTGAATACACATATTTCCGTCTGTGAATTAATAATACATACATGTCTGTCTGTGAATACACATTTGTCTGTCTGTGAATACACATATGTCCATCTGTGAATACATAAATGTCCGTCTGTGAATACACACATGTCCGTCTGTGAACTAATAATACACACATGTCTGTCTGTGAATACACACATGTCTATCTGTGAATTAATAATACACATATGTCTGTCTGTGAATACATACATGTCTGTCTGTGAATTAATAATACACACATGTCTGTCTATGAATACACATATGTCTGTCTGTGAATACATACATATCCGTCTGTGAATTAATAATAAATACATGTCTGTCTGTGAATACACATATGTCCGTCTGTTAATTAATACGTACATGTCTGTCTGTGAATACACATATGTCCCTCTGTGAATTACATTGACCGTCTATCACGTTCACATTGCTTACATGTACGAGCTTGTTATTAAGAATGCACTCACATTCTATGCTTCATGTCTGAAAATAATATCTGCAGTCTGTTTGTACGATCATTCTCGTCTCATCGTAGCTGAATAATAAACTCTTGTCAATAAAGAATCAATAATGCTTCCTATGGCGTTGTGTTTTACTGTCTGCTTTGCTGTGTACTAATTCCCGGTGACCTTAAGGTCACCGCCTTTTAACATTTGACCTTTACCTGAATTCCACACAGGTGAACTACATGTGCTAAATCTGTGTGCTGTGTTTGTCTCCTTGTCCTAATCTGTCCAATTTTTGAAGTTGCTGATCTCCATTCCTGTTCCGTCCTTGTCTGTCCATTTGTCCATTCCTGTCTGTCCTTGTCTACCTAAAATCTTATCCCTGTCTTATCCCAAATCTTTTCCTCAACTTTATTCCAGCTAAGAAAAAGGTTGAGTTTGCTCTACCCCGAGAGGAACGCCCCAAGCAGTCCCGCCCCGAGACTGTCAAGTACCCAGTGTCTGAGGACGAAACAGGTCCCAGTGCCAGCGAGGATGAACTGCCGGAGGAAATGAAGGTTCCACCGATTTTCACTGAACTTTTACATCCCAAGGTTGTTCGGGACGGGGAACGTGTTGAGTTCCTTGTCCACTTTCGTGGAACCCCACAGCCAAAGGTCAAATGGTTCCAGAACGGCCACGAACTTAAACCATCAACTGACTTCCAGATCACCGTCAATTTCAATACAGGGGAGAGTTCTCTAGTTATTGTAGAGGTTTTCCCGGAGGACGAGGGCGAGTACACATGCTCGGCCCGCAACCGTTACGGAGAAACGATAACAACCTGTCGCCTCACAGTCGTTGGTACGTCTCAATGCTGTAGAACCGTAGTGGCTTTTCATGTGCATGGTTAGAATATATCGATAATTTGCAAAACTTGAAAATTCCAATTTTTGTCCTTTTTTGCCTCCCTGGTATGTAATTTTCCTGAAGTGATATCAAAATGTGGAAAAAATAATTCAATTTTCTTATAAGGCATTTTAGTATTATGAATATATATAATTACAGTTCACAGACCTAATATTTGAAAAAAGAAAAGAAAAAAAAAAACCATTTTCTATGAATTACTGACCAATTCACTATTAAACTGTTTTATAGAATCTGTTATCTTCAATAGAAGTTTTGATACATGCATGATGTTTCCACGAAATTGAAAATGATGATTAAGTTAAATAAAACTATCAAACCATGGAGAAAGTTAATATCAAACCATGGAGAAAGTTAATAACTGCGGCTACTAGCCTTGATTGCACTCATTGTTAAGGAAGTTTTACATTGAAAAATACCAAATGCAAAGAAATGCAATATTTTTTCAAAATACTACACTATGGAAAAATAATTGATTCACACATAATCTCAAGTAATTTTTCTAAATATTGTAATGAAGATGAGTATTTGATTATGTATAGTGTGATTTTGTCCCATTCTGAGAGTGGTCCTTGCTTGCTGCCTCCCCATCCTCACTCAGACCCGTCTTGTTCTTGCAGCCCCTGAGGAAGAAATTCCTGAACATGAATCCCATCGCATGACCATTGAAGTTCAGCAGGTCCCTAAACCCGAAGAGGTAACGCGTGATATCCACACAACACAGCTAAATATACAGAAGGAGCAACCACTAGATACGCCCTTCGACATCACGGAGGAAACACGGTTCAAGGAATCCATAGAACTTGATCGTAAGGCACCAACACAGCAACAGCCTCAGTCAGTAACTGTGGTAAAGCAACCCATAGTCACACATCCAGTTTCCATGGTAACCCAGCAAGGCACCATGGTACCAACAGAACCAACAACTCATTTTGAAATTCAGATTGGTTTCCCAGAGCAACAACAACCGCAGACGACATCGTCGGTAACCACAGAGACAACCACTTACACGACCACAAAGACTACGCATGAAGTTACTGATGTGGAGGATTACCCAAGTATTGTTGAAGGTGGAGAGTTCCACAAAACCTCAATGGTGGTGACATCACAAGATGAGCCCCAACCTCTCAAGCTCGTCGAGATCCAAAAACTTCCGAAGGAGGATGTTGTGTCTGAGACGACACGTATGGTCACAAAAGAGATCCACACCATCCCCCAAGAACCAGAAGTGTCTGAATCAGAGGAGAGACATTCAGAAACAATCGAGATTGTTCACGACACTCAACCACAGGAGGTTCAGTTTGAGATAAAACTACCTGAACAACAGACAGTCACAACGACAGAGAAAAAGTTCACCACCCAGACCCAACAGGAAAGACGGACATCAGTACAGAAGTACGAGGTCGAGATTCAGGAGAAATTCATGATCCAAAAACCACACGAGATCCACATCCCCTTAAAGAGCAGGAGTGAGGTGGAATTTGATGTTGTTGACGGCACTGAACCAAAAGACCTTGCGCGTCCTACAGAGGAACAGATTGAAGAAGTCAGACCAACTTTTGAGGTTGAAAAGAAACCTGAGCCAGTCCTTGAGGAGGAGATTCCAAAGGAAGAGAAACCAAAGCAGGAAGTTCTTGTTGAATTTCCTGTTGAGGAAACTCCCGTTGAGGAAGCACCAGTTGAGGAAACTCCCGTTGAGGAAGCACCTGTTGAGGAAACTCCCGTTGAGGAAGCACCTGTTGAGGAAACTCCCATTGAGGAAGTACCTGTTGAGGACACGCCTGTGAAAACAGTAGAAATATCAATACCTGTAAGTGAGGAAACTAAACAAGAGATTCAAACTTTTGTCACAGAAACTGAGGTTCAGAAAACTGACATCATCGACTCTCAGGAAACTCATTTACAGGAATTCACCTTTGACCTTAAAGGTCGACCTAAAGAGGAAGTGACCTTTTCTATTGGTATGCAAAATGATGAGCCGGTTGAGGATGTCCCTGTTAAAGAAGTCACGCAGGAAACTCACCAAGAGGAAATAACTTTCCAGCTAAGTGAACAACCTCAAGAGGTTGTGGTTGAGGAAGTGACCAGAACAGAGGAAACTCACATAGAGGAAATAACCTTTGACCTGAAGGGTAAACCTTTAGAAGAAGTCACATTTTCTCTCAGCTCAACTGAAGAAACAACTCCAAAACAAGTTGAAGTACTTGAGGAATCTGTGCCAGAGGAACAGGTGTTTGAGGTAGAGATCGAAGCCCCTGCCCAGCCTGTGATAACAACAGAGCGTGAGACAATCCAGGTCACAGAACTAGAGGCAGAAACACCAGCTCCCCTGCAACCAGTAGAGGTTACACAACGTGCAGTCATCGAACATGTAAAGGAACCAGAATCTGAAACTGTGGCTCCAGAAGACTTTCTGGAAATTTCTCAGCGGGAAACCATTGAAATTATCCGTGAACCAGAGGAGCCAGAAGAAGTGATTCAGATTGATATTGATATAGCTGAACAACTGCCTGAGGTGACAACCGTCACTGAAACTGAAGAAACCAGATCTGTAAAAGAAGTGACCTTTGAAGTTCCCCAAGTCGAAGACAGCTATCAAGAAGAGATGGTCATTCAGGTACAAAAAGAACCCACACAGGAAGTGCAACTCACTCTGCAAGTGGATCAGACAGAACAGTCTGCCCCGGAAGTGGAGGAAGTGTTACGTGACGTAGAAAAAGTTAAGGAAGAAATTACGGAGGTTATTCAGCTTCCAGAGCTTGAAGATACTCACAAAGAGGAGGTAATTCTGCAAGTTGAGGACCAGCCAGAGGAGGCTGTAGAACTCACACTCCACATTTCAGACTCCAACATTACTGAAATCGAGGAAACAAGGTCTACGGAAAAATCTGAAAATATAGAGGAAGAATTTGTGTTCCAACTTCCAGCAGTGACAGAGTCGTCGACTGAGGAAGTGATGCTAGAAGTTGAAGATCAACCATCTGAAGAAGTCG